CAGGATCATCCGAGTACTCAAACTCCCCCACCACGGTAAGGTGGCAGTCCAGGGGGGAGTCCAAGCCCCGGTGATCCAAGATGGCGCCAAATTCAAATGAATGGCTTGTGCTCAGTAGCGCATGGGACTTCACAAGACCGGGAGATTAGCTGAACTCACCTATATTTGGGAATCGTCTGGTCTTCCCGGTTTTGCGCAGTGGACACAATGCAACTTTGGCGCAACGCATCATGGGAGCATTTCCCATGATGCGTTGCGCCAAACGTGTGTGTGTGGGTCACATGCACGGACATAGAGGGGCTCGGCCGTGCTCTGACCAATTAGAGATGCTAATCAGAGCAGCGGCAGAGCGGGAAGGAAAGGAGCAGAGTTTGTGGCACTAAAGTGTGGATTTAAACAAAACCGAAGGATTTAAGAAGAAAAAAAGTTCAGGATGACAAGGGACACTAAAATCCCCATAAAATCTGACCTTTATGAAGGTTTTAAGGTTCTCAGTCAGCTGAGGTCGAGCTGTTTTAATTTACATTGAGTTCTATAGGACTTTTTTCTGGGTGGCCCACGTGAATTTGGTCTGCAGTAACACGGGCGCCCCCTGTGCCCATGGGTGAGACAGCTCCAAGCTAGTAATACCCTATCCAGTGATTATTATAGATCCATGGAGCTGTCAGCTTCAAGAGAAGATGGGATTACCAGTGATCTGCACGCGTTAGGGAAGAGCATTGGTCGAAAGTTGGGAGGAAACTGTCCAGTCCGAGTGACAAGAAGTGGGATGGTCGTCATAGAGTGTGCATCTCAAAATCAGAGAGAGAAAGTGTGGTGTTGTATCTTCTTGTCCGCAGAAGATGGGGTTTCCCCGCACAAACCAGTATAGTGTTGGAGAAGGAATGCACTCTTGAGTTATGTATTGAAGAAAGAGTTTAATGGCATAATCAGAATACATCAAGTCCAATTCAGGCTTAGCTCTTTCAGCCTGGGTCAGCTCCGAGAATGAGGATGGCATGATTGACAAAGAACACATTAAGCACAGAGCTCTTATAGATGCGCAAGGGCAGGATGTCATAAATACTTGTCATTCAATAATCTTATAGACTAGTCCTGGTTAACTCAGTATCTCTGAGTCTTTCTTCCCTGAGGATCTCACTACATGTGGTTTTACTGCAAATGGTAAATAAATCGAATCTATAGGCTATTATTGTCCCTCCAGATGTCCTAAGACACAATTATAACCAAACATGCATCCACAAGACATACATATGCAGTCTAATGACACAGACGCTGCCGAGATGCAGCTGATGGTTCTATTGTCTCCAACGTCACATTGGCCTTATGATTTAGATAAGTGACTTCCTGCCATTGCGTGCTCACATTATCCCAAAACACAATTTTACACATATGAAGATACATACATACTATGTATTTATGTAGAATTAAAGAATATTAATAATAGCAGACACAACAGTGGCAAGCTGGATTTGGCCACTATATTTCTGTCCAGTAGAGGGCGCATACTGACAGTATAAATAGCCTCGAGTCGCCTCTTTGTTTACCTCTGCACTTCCGTCTTCTGTGTGTCGTCGCACCAGCCCTTCTCCTGCTCCAGGTAGTTCAGTTTCAGTGTCGAGTCTAATATTTGTACGTTGCAGCCACTACACAACTACAACTGTCAGTTGTTGTTGTAGTGCTGCGGTGTGGCTTTGTGCCCCGTGAATTCTGCTTTTATATAGCTATGCTGTCCGCATTTATCACAAGCGGAAAAATATGTTCTTACTAAAGGCCTACATTTTGCAATAACCCCAAAAGATATTCCTACAATTGAATACATCACAGCAGCAGAAGCAGCCATTAGAAACAACAAACTAACTGAGAGTGAGGCGGGGGCCCTCAGACTGAGAGTCTCTACAACACTCAAAAGTGCGAAGTCCCCACAATCCAATGTCTCATTAGATGAGCAAAAAGCATTATTGGCATTACAAAAGGATGAGAGTATAACTATTTTACCAGCTGACAAAGGCAGATGCACAGTTATCCTCAACAGCTCAGACTATGAGGCCAAAGTCAGTTACTCTTGGACACCAACACGTACCAGCCATTGAAGAGGGACTGTCATGGCCAGATTCCCGGCACAAGATATTCTAATCATTTAGGTCGATACATGCGTCTTCTTTCCCAGCGTCTGAAACCCGCTTCCCATCACTGTTTGAAACATTAAGACAAAGGCTGCTTGTCCACGGTTCTCTTTCCCATAACCTTCGCCACCACCTGCATGGGCCTATCTCAAATGTTCTTACAGCGTGTTCCTTGTTATCAAATTCGAAGGTCCTTTTCTGCGCTTAATGTATCTCTCCCAAACTTTCCCGTCTGCAGCTGCGTATGACTCATCTCTCTTGTGACGAATGTCCATTGTTCTGTCTGACACACCTCCAGTATTAGATCATAAGACATGTTTGTTGGGGGAACAGACAGACGCGGCATCGCTCCAGATCCCGCTTCTGTTTGACTCCTTTCTGCGCAGAAATGTCATTTTTGTACTCATCACTTCTGTGAATAAAACTGCACCAAAGGACAAGTTTGTTTCCTCTCGGTTTCATTCATTTGAGGCAATAGAATTTCCATAACAATTTGGTGTCAGAAGTGGTCTCAAAGGCTTGACCGTTGAAACGCAGGGGTCCGGATTCGGGGGACTGATCGCCCGGGATTCAAAACCAATCTCGTCGCTTTCCCATATCTCTGGACGGGCGGACTGACCGGACGTGCTGAGTTTCAACCGTCGCCTCTCGGGATTTTCACACGAAAACAAACGGTAACTTGTTTAATATTTGACTTTCTATGCTTCAGTGGTGAATCCGAGAGGCACTTGTGGGTGCAGTGCATGTTTGGCTGCCAGCTGGTGACGGTGCTGCTCATTCTAATCCAGGCTGTTGGGAAAAAATCTAAGTTCGAGTCTTAGTCGGGGGTTAGAGTCCTCCGTTGTGAAAACAGGTTGGAGTCCTGTCAGAAAATCTAAGTTTACTCTTAGTCGGGGGTTAGAGTCCTCCGTTGTGAAGACGGTTAGAGTCCGGTCTAAATCTAAGTTTACTCTTAGTCGGAGGTTAGAGTCCTTCGTTGTGAAGACGGTTAGAGTCCGGTCTAAATCTAAGTTTACTCTTAGTCGGAGGTTAGAGTCCTTCGTTGTGAAGACGGTTAGAGTCCGGTCTAAATCTAAGTTTACTCTTAGTCGGAGGTTCGAGTCCTCTCGTTGTGAAAACAGGTTCGAGTCCTGTCAAAAAATCTAAGTTTAGTCTTAGTCTGGGGTTCGAGTCCTCAGTTGATACTAGATCTGAGTTTGAAGTCTCAGATTCCAGCCATGTGGCTTAGAGGAAAAGGCACAGAGTCACCAGTTTGGGACGCCCCATGCATGACTTTTATGAGTAAGAAACATGGTGATGATTTTAGGGCATGCACTGAAATGTGGGTGGCTGAATTAGGTTTTCCCAAAAATGGCTCCTTCAGCTTGAACCAATTGGAAAAGATTAAATCGCAATTGGATGCTCGAGAAACTGTGTTAAAAAAAGGCAGGTCTGTACGTGTGAAAGATTTGAATTGTCTGGATGAGAACAGACGGTGGCTGAATGCGTGGATGACTGAGGCAAAGCTTAGGGAAAGTAGACAGAAACAATGTATAGGATCTGCGACTGATACTTCTCCATCTGCTTTTTTTTCGAGCATACCACCGATCCCACGTCAATACGACCGTAGGAACTCCAGAGATGATTGGACCCCGCTGTACTCCGCTCTCTCACCCCCCCGGTATCAAGCAGCAGCAGCGGCACCTGCAGCAGCGGCACCTGCAGCACCAGCAACAGCAGCAGCAGCGTCAGCTGCCCTCCCTCCGCTGCTCCTCTTGCCTGCCCCAGAGGCTTCTGCATCAGCCCCTCCCCTCCTGTCTGGAGCAGCACACAGACACACTCACACTGCTCCTGCTACAGTTCACAGTGTGACTCACGATATGGACAGAATCTCTTTAAATGACAATGGCATGACGCTGAGAGATGGAAAGACTTTACAAGCACCTATGATAGAATACCCTGGCCCCGAGGGAACCCCCGTTCTGGTTCTGCGTCAAATGGATCAGGAGATGAAAGACTCTGTCAAAGACTGGCCTTCTCCCCACCGCGGGGGTGATTCGATGGCAGACGCATTTCTGGCCTTTTGCAAAGCATGGCGTCCTACGGGCGCTGAAGTTAAAAAGCTTCTCCTCCTGTATTTAAAACCGGAGGGCTTCGCCAAGATAGAGCCGGCGGTCCATCGACAGAATTATGAGACTTTGCGAGCTCTGCAGGCGGAATGGACAGAGGCGAATGCATGGGAGACATATGTGGCCAACATAGTGACAGCTCTCAAGCGTGCGTTCCCAGTGAAATTTGATATGGGAAAGATTAAAGACTGCTCTCAAAAGACAAGTGAGTCAGTTGTGGACTTTTATCATCGTCTTGAGGATGTGTGCGTTGCCCACTCTGGTAGTCAAAAGCCAGACAATTACACTGCCGCAGCTGAGACCACATTCGAGGTGATCTTTAAGATGGCGTTCTGCGAGGGCCTTCCCCAACCGATCCAAGCCGCACTAAAACAGACTTTGGTGGGAGGTTGGCAGGATAATCGCATCCCGGAAATCCTCAGACACGCAAAGCATGCTGAAATAAAGAACACTGAGGAGAACGCTGTAAAAACTGGCGCGCAGGAGACGGCACAGCATCAGGCCAATCTCACATTGATCAAAATGACGGGCAGACAATTCCGTCGTGGAGGTCGTGGAGGTAGAGGACGGAGAAGAGGTGGCAACGGACATTTCGAGAACAATCGTGACCACGGACATTTCGAGAACAATCGTGACCACGGACATTTCGAGAACAATCGTGACCACGGACATTTCGAGAACGATCGTGTCCATGACGACCAGGACAAATGTTTCAACTGTGGTGAAATTGGACATTGGAATCGTGACTGTCCCCAGCCACGCCGAGATGCGGGACGCTGGAGTGGACGTGGACGGGGTGCGAGACCGGAGGACCAGCAGAGATTTTCTTCAGATTGATGTCTGGTTGAAGTGGGATCTGACACAGCACCTGTACAGATGAGTAATGCACACACTCTTACACACAACACACTAACTGCTAACTGCAATGAAGACGCGCTTGCCACTGATTCACTGCTTGGCTTAATTGAGGATAGAATTAGGGAGTTAGAGAACGGTGACAGGCCCAACACAGGGACCTACTTAGCTTATGAAAATGAAGCTTACAGAAAAATGCCAACTATTGTTTGTGAAATTGAGGGTAAACCGATCACTTTTTTAGTAGACTCTGGTGCAACCCACAGTGTGATTCAGACAAAGGAGCTCTCAATCAAATTAAGTGGCAGAAGTGTTTTTTCCACAAGTGCGAGTGGACAAACGGTACCGGAATCTTTTTCTGTTCCGATCAAATGCACTTGGGCAAACGAGCGTAACCCAGCAACAGCAAAACATTCATTTTTGATGTCTGACCTTTGTCCTGTAAACTTGTTAGGCCGTGATTTAATGATAAAATGGGAAGTTGTGATCACATCGACAGCAGAAGGCCTTAAAATAGACAGAGGTGCGTGCGCAACTAATTTTGTCAAAGTAAACACAAATTGTCCTATGTCTGTATATCAGTGGTGGTTTCATACTGCCAGCGCGAGTCATTTAATGGGGGTGGTTTCTCCATTTCTTAATCCAAAATCTGATATATTGAAAGCTGAGGACTTGCATTGTGTGTGTCATTTACACCATGGCCCTGATTGTGAATTTGAAGAAACGTTTAAACTGGGCACAAATGGCTGCTTAATTCTTGCTGACGTGTACTTTGATGAGTCCAAGTGTGCTGTTTCAGTAGAGTTATAGCCAGTCACAAAAACAATGCTATCGTATTGAAAATTCAAGTCCTCATATTTCATTATCAGACAACACCTATGGTCTCATAATGAAAATAATGTTTGCCCAGAACTGTGCGGTTTAGTCGGTAAAAGTGATATCCAGAATGTTTGCAGAAGTCTTTGTCTGGATGCTGGGTTTATGAAATGCCGCTGTAAGAAAAAGCTGGTATTAGAGGATTTTGCTGGGGTTGTGCATTTCTTCAGAGCGTACAGGGCCCTGCTGTTTCCTGCTTTGGCTTGTCTTTATGGAGTAATAAGATGTTATATGAGGCATGTAGAGACAATTAAACAGTCAAGGTTTAGCCAGAGTACAAGTTTGCAGGTAGTCAGTTTTGTGTAGACAAAAGAAGTCCCCCAGCTTTAATGAATGTATGGATTGATTTACTAATTTCTTTATGTATTTAGTAGAAAATATTGGATCATTGGTTCATTTTGGCCTTTAAAGTGATAGTCTGGAACTCTAAATGAATTACAAATGTTAAGAATTGTATTAAATTGACCTCCTGGCCTTAAATGTTGATATAGAATAAGTCATTTTATTAATTCTAATATTACGGGTAAGTCCCGCCTTCCCTTCTCTTAGCTATAGCTCAGAATCCACGGTGCCGTCCACGTTAACCAATCGAGTCATGCCAAGGGCTGTCAATCATCAGCGCTGATGCTCGTAGCTGCTCAGGCTCAGTTGTTTGTTTTCGCGGAGCCTCAGAATCAAGCCTCTATTAGGCTCTGAACCTATATCCATAATCATTTATATACTGAACCTATATCCATAATCAGATCCTCTGCAGATGTGTCCTATAATGTTCAATTACTGATAATAGCTTCTTCCGGGTTTACCATAATCGCTTTTTTCGTGCATTAAAACATTATTTTTGTCATGAAAACGTTAACAAATAATTCTGAAAACCTCCGTGCATGTGTATTAATAATGTATAAGTATAATGTATTTTCCGATTAACATTAAAATGTGTTGATTGATTGTTACGGAAACGTAAGCGTAGACCAATCAGAAAGGAAGGGGGCGGAGCTTGCGTCGTTGTTTACAAATCAAGTACCTCTCTTTTTTCTGACAAACTCCAGACAATCATGTCCTTGATATCAGCGAGGACGGATGTAAAGATACTTTAACTGTCTGTCTGAAAGTGAACGTGTGTGGGATGTGATGATGGAGGATTATCTCCAGTGTAAATGATGAGTGGCTGGTGTGTTGGTGTGGGAGCCTCCTGTGTGGGGTGGGCCGCTCTGGAGGAGGGGCCGCAATGATTAAAAACAGATTGAAGTGTTTCCTACTCTAGTCTCTCCACTTAACTCATTGACTGCCGTTGACATATTTATCTTGGACCCTCTTTTCGACTATGGATAACAGGACCTTAAAAATAGCTAAAAACAAACTTATTTTTGCTGATCAAAGTAGACAATCCAGTCTTTCAGAATCTGGTTTCACATTTCACATAGTCATAGGAAATAATATTCTATGGGTCTTGAGAATCGGTGAAATCATCAAAAACGGCTGCCAGTCAATGAGTTAAGGTCGTTCTCTCTGTATGTCATGTTTTTGTGTCTATGTTTACAGTGAGGACTATTGTTTGTGAGAGATTTCAACCTAGGTATTATTTGTCCCTTTTTCATGACGTTCACTTTGAAGCCAGCCTTATTCAAGCAGACATCTCCATATGTTTTGGTTTATTTGCTTTTTTACACAATGTTCAGTCAAGCTCTGAAACGGGACAAGGGGAACATTATTCCGTTTTTTGCAGGTTATCTGAATCCCGGACTTAAAGATGCAGTTAGCGATGTTGTTAGCTTAGCCGTAGCACCGACTCAAAAACGCTCCCCCCTCCCCTCGCCTCTCCACCAAACCACTCCCCCCTCCCCTCGCCTCTCCACCGAACCAAACATCCAGCATTTTCTTTTCTTTGTCACAACAGGGAGAGTGGGTGGCAAACGTGAAATTGGAATTATCTGTTCAGCCATTTTAGGTTTTAGAAAATCCGATAACTCGAAGCAAACACATATTTTTTATGATTTTTTTTGAGACTATTTGAAAACACATGATAACACATGATACTTTTAGGGTTTAGGGACGTTTTCCCACAATATAAAAAAAAAAATGCGCCTGGAAAAAATCACTGACTGCATCTTTAATTAAAAAGAAGTGTATTCATTTTTTCCTCAAACTTATATGGAGGTTTGGCTATAATTACAAAACAGGTCATTCTGGCCACTCTATTCACTACTACAACTCGTTAGACATGTCAACATTAACCTTTAGCCCTTTTTAAAATCAAAATATTGTCTTAAGGTTGGGCGATATGGCACACATGTTACATCTCACTTTGTATGGTTGTTTTTGCAGGCGGAGGGGGACCGCTTGCCTCCTGGACACACCGTGAGCCAGCTGGAGACCTGTAAGATCCGCAGTATCCGGGCCGGGACCCTGGAGCGCCTGGTGGAAACCTTACTGACCGCCTTTGGGGACAATGACCTCACCTACACCTCCATCTTCCTGTCCACTTACCGAGCATTCGCCAGTGCGCACACCGTCCTGGAGCTGCTGCTGGACAGGTCAGCCACGTTAGGAGAAAGAACACAGAGATTCTCGGGCTGAACCATTTTGGAATATATTCTATTGCAACTGTGATGAGATTTGGGATTCTCAAATTCTTTGCAAAGAAAATTGCCATTTAACATTAGCAGTCTCACAGGACTTCAAAAAGCTGTCGATTCCCCAATACAGATCTGATAATCAAACTTTTCAAACACAGGAAATACAATGGCAAGGCAAGGCAAGGCAAGGCAAGTTTATTTATATAGCACAATTCATACACAAGGCAATTCAAAGTGCTGAACAAAACAAGAAAGCATTAAAATCATAAATTATCACAGAACATTAAAAAGAAAGATAAAAATATAAAATCCCTCAGTTGTATGCACAGCTAAACAGAACCGTCTTTAACCTGGTTTTAAACATTGTCAGAGAGGAGGCCTGTCTCACATCTTCAGGAAGACTGTTCCAGATTTTAGCAGCATTAATCTGAAAAGCAGCCTCCCCATGTTTAGTTCTGACTCTGGGCACTAACAGGAGTCCAGTCCCTGTGCTCCTCAGAGTCCCAGCAGGAGTCCAGTCCCTGTGCTCCTCAGAGTCCGGGCTGGTTCATATGGGACTAACATGTCACTAATGTATTTTGGTGCGAGGCCATGGAGAGACTTGTAACAAGCAGAGCTGTTTTAAAGTCTATTCTCTGAGCCACAGGAAGCCAGTGCAGAGACCTGAGGACTGGACTAATGTGGTCGTACTTCCTGGTTCTTGTCAGGACTCGAGCTGCTGCATTTTGAATGTACTGCAGCTGTTTATATAATATAAATATTATATAAACAGCAATAACAATAATAACAAACACATAGGAGCCATTGGTTCATAGGAAGTGGAATGATCAATATCCATCAATGTTAATCAATATACAGAAATTTCCCTAAATGTCCCGGATCAGTGTCCTTAGCCTCAAAATGTAAGAAAAAGTAGAGTGCGGGAGTGGGATCGATATCAAATAAACAATGACAATCTCATAGCTACATGCAAGGCCAGCGTGGGGGAAATGTTTATTGTTTATTTTTTTTAGCCCTAGTTACATTTTAGATACAACATTGTTTGGTGTGGCAGGTATGGAAGTTTGGAGGAAAATACAGAAACGAGTCGATGCCAAGGTTCCGAGACCAGGGGCGCAATCAGAAAGTAAGTTCAGTGAGGATTTCTCTCTCCTTTCATAGCTCTAATTACAATATACAGTAAGTCTGACATATGTGGTGTGTGCACTGCAGTGTCCTGGGCTCCATACTGAGGGCCTGGTTGGATCAGTGCCCAGAGGACTTCCAGGAGCCCCCAGAGTACCCCTCTCTCCAACGCCTCATCCAGTACTTGCGGAAGGCCCAGCCAGGCTCCGAGACCCTGAAGCGGGCCGAGGGGCTTCTGCTGCAGCTACAGAGTCAAGCCATGGATGAAGTAGATGGTAAAGCTCTCAAAGGCAGTAAAATTGTCTTTCAGATTCAGATTTTTGCGGTTTATGTGCATTCATACCCAGTGCGCACGATAGACAACAAAAACTAAATGCAGAAAACCCAATTCTCACTAAAACGCACACGCTAAAAGCAAGAATGTACTTAATCAACCAATTCAACACGTTTTTAGTTCCACCTGCTCTTCTTCTCATCCTCCATCCACTCTGTTTAAAAGGTGTTCTCAAGCTATAGGTGTACTATGTCATTGCACTTAGGACAGAGTGGTTACACACATATAAAACACAAACATTACACAAAAGAAAAACATGCATGAGGAAAAAATAAGAATGAAAAATAGCAGCAAACTGTGCAAATCATGTCAAACTACTAATTCATTCATTTTCATACCGCTTGTGTTGGTGGATTATGTGAAAATCTTGTTAAAAAAAAAGAATTAAACAATGAAAAATAACACATACAAGTTAGAAAATGATAGAAATCGAAGTTTGCCGACAAATAACCCAAAGTCTCAATTACAACTAATACATTTTTGACTTTTTTTTATCAAAGTTGAAGTCACTGACATGCCCGACAGAACACAGGACAGTGAAGCTATTCATCTTCTCGCCCTTTATCCTTTATCGTCTCAAACTCAAAAACACGTCTCTGTCTGTATCCTCTTGGCTCTGGTCCTGATGTGTTGTTATCGCTGGGTGACAGGTTTCCATGGTAACTCTTCCTTCTGCCTGGGCGAGGAGGAGGAAGTGGAGATGGAGGCTCAGGAGAATTTCCTGTGCTTCCACGCCGACCTGGTGGCGGAGCAGCTGACCTACATGGACGCGGTGAGTTTAGATACGGAGGAAGGAAGGGCCCAGTGTCACCGCTTTGTCCTGTCAATCAAACACTGTTGTTTAGTTTCTGAGGAACTGTCCACTGCGCACACACACACACACGCACACGCACACATACACACACGCACAAACACACACTCAGAATTCTCTATGAGTTTGACTTTTTAATTGACTATAGATTGTATAACGTGCAGTTTTCCGATGTCCTGACCTCTATGTGTGTATGTAAGGTTTTTTATTATGAACGTTTTATAGATAAACAAATTGGAATGAAATAGCAAAGACATTGTTGAAAAAACTTTTATCTCCCATCTGGGGCAGGACTCTGAAAAATGATTTTGAGATCTCAGCAGGTCAATATAGTTCCATTTAGATCAGGTTTTTCAGACCTTAAGAAATAAAGGCTTTTGATCCCTAATCCTCAACCCCATTATAAAGGTCATGTCAATAACATTTTTTTTTTTTTCAAATATGACCCATTAATGATAACATTTAAGCTTGGGTACCCAACTTTTAAACTACAAAAAAGGAACCAATACCATTTGTCCTTGTCCCTAGTCCCGTTGCTATGAGCTCTCAGCCCATAGCAACAAACAGTGACACCCCAGGTTCTTCACAAGTAAGTATGCAAAAGATATCATGTGTTCTTATAAGATGATGTCATGATGTGGTCTGATTTGGACAAACCCTAATGTATGATTTATTAAAAAAGCGTTGATACAGATTAGAGCTATAACTCAATCATAAACATTTCCAGTGGACTAGCAGCCCTTTAACATAGTCTTTGTGATGTTTTTTTCTGCAGCTGCTGTTTAAAAAGGTCGTGCCACACCACTGCCTGGGATCCATCTGGTCTCAGCGGGATAAGAAAGACAGCAAGCACAGCGCGCCCAGCATCAAAGCCACCATCACGCAGTTCAACGCCGTGGCCGCCTGCGTGGTCAACACGGTGCTCAAACACAGGCAGATCCGGGCCCACGCCAGGGCCAGGGTCATCCAGAGGTGGATCGATGTAGCTCAGGTGAAACACACGTGAAGAGGGTAAAGGCGGGAGAGTGCCGGGGCGAGTTTTGACGTGTGTGTTTGTGAACAGGAGTGCAGAATACGAAAGAACTTCTCATCGCTGCGAGCGATCGTGTCGGCGCTGCAGTCCAACCCTTTGTACAGGCTCAAGAAGGTGTGGACCTGCGTCCACAAGTAAGACCCCAGCAACTCTAGTTCTTTCCCTTTCATTATTTTGACATATTTTGCATTTACGCAAACACTTTTTTTCACTTGTTGTAAGTGGCTGTGGGCTGTGGCATTTTTGTCAAATAAATGTGTTTTCTGGTTATAAATGAAATAAAAACAAGAGTTGTTTTTCAAGCTCTATCCAGCTAATGATAGGAACTTCTCGTAACGGTCTTCAAACCGCCACAAACAGGACCCCATGATCCAACCAAATGTTCCTTGTTGTGGCCTATAAAAACTCATCTTAGAATTAATGTAAAGATATATTCTGAACAAGCCCCGGCAATCCAAGATGGCGCCGTGTTCAAATGAATGGTTGTGCTCAGTGGCGCATTGTGCCGGCACGGTCGCTGACATATTAGCAGAACTCGCAAAGATCTATGGGAAACTCTCCTGTATTTGGGCATCGTCTGGTCCTCCCGGTTCTGTGCAGTGGACGAGCTCCCATGATGCTTTGCGGGAAATACGCGTGTGTGTGCACGGTAAAATCGCTAGAGTAAAATTTACTCAAATTGAGGAATATTTAACTCTATTTTTGATAATATTTGGTCCCTCTCTAAAAAGAGCCAAATCAACTCTTTTGATAGAGTCGTTTAATCGGAGTAATTTCTCTTCAATTTAGAATTCTACTCTTTAATAGTAAAATTCACTCTCTGCTGAGAACATTTCAAGTGACTCTCACTCTATTTTTACTCTTACTTGAGGAACTATACATTTACTGCATGGTAATTTACTCACTAAAAAGAACTCCATTTTGAGTGAAAGTTTCTCCATAGGGAGTCCATTTTAGAAATTGCACAATTCATTATTAAGCTCCTAAAAATGTGAAATATGACAAAAAGATCAAACATTTTTCCATATACCCTATTATTTGGCACCAAATACTTGCTCAATAGAAAATTCTCATTCAATACTATTGTGTGGTACGACCAGGCTATCTCTTCATGTTCATCCAGATATTTTTGAGGAACTTATCTCCAATTATAAGACCTGAGAAGCCTTAGTATTCAAACACAAATACTGTAGACTAATTGCACGTGTAAATACATCCCTGTGTCCTCCGTAGAGACAGCATGCAGACGTTTGAGGAGCTGTCGGACATCTTCTCTGACCACAACAACTACCTGACCAGCAGAGAGCTCCTCATGAGGGTAATGTGTGAACCTGCTGCTGTGATCCTGGACGCTGTCATCGCTGCGCTGCTCTAAAATACTCTTTCCTTTCTCGTGCGGTACAGGAAGGCACTTCAAAGTTTGCCAGTCTGGAGAGCTGCGCCAAGGAACACCAAAAACGCACCCACAAAAGACTGCAGCAGCAGAAGGAACTGGTGAGACACTTTAGCATTCACAAGTGGAAAAGGCATCCGTCAAATGTGCTATATGATAAAGCAAAGATAATGTTTGAGGTATTGCAACGTTTTGAACTGAGGTATATGTAGAGTTGTATTAGTTAGAATATTGAATGCATTGAATAGATTGAACAGAAATGTAGCAGTGTGTTCATGAGAGATCAGAAAGAAGTGGTCGGGAGAAAAATCTACCCTGTTCAGTTCTGCTTTCTGTGACTTAAGTCTATTGTATTTGAATCATTGAAGTTAAATGCTGGAAGCTCACCATTCACGTGAGAGGTCTATTCAGAAAATAATCATGTCTTGTCCTGGAATAAGGTCCTGTGTCCTCAATGTTCAAGGATAACGTTTTTGCACTACCCTTCTTAATGTTTTGCATTTCAGAGACTGTGCAGACCATAATCAGTGTGACATTTGATTCTTATTTTTCTACATTTTGAGGGACATGAATCGCAATATTTCGCAGAATTGATTCACAATACTTTCTGTAGTGCAATATGTTAAGGTTGGAATAATATTGAATTGTGGCCCACGTTTTGCAACACAAGTGATTCGTCACATTTTTACCAATTCCCACCCCTAGCGAGTAAGTAAGTAATGTTTGTTTATTTATATAGCGCATGTTACAGACCAAGGCACAGACCCAAAGCACTTTCCAATGTTCAGAGTCAGATATTGTTCCAATCCTTCCACACACGGTGACGACAGAAGCGAGTCCAGAACACACTGGACCATCAGCTCCAACACCATCCATTCACTCTCTCATTTACATTCAGACCTATTGTTACCACGGTAACACAGAAGGCACTTAAGAACGCTTCAGATCACTCAGGTTATAACGATGAAGCTAAAACGTTTTTTTGTCTTCTCTCGCAGGGAGAAATGCAGGGGACCATCCCATACCTGGGCACCTTCCTCACAGACCTGACCATGCTGGACACTGCTCTGCCCGACCGAGTGGAGGTGGGTTGTACGTTTCCATTGGTGAGCCAGGAATGTGCTCCTAATGCTGTTTGCCCAAGCTGGTATGTGCTGTGTGGAGCCTGAGCGCTTGTTCTTTTGCTCCTCAGGGTGGCCTCATTAACTTTGAAAAGAGACGAAGGGTGAGTTTCTTTAATGACACTGAACACACGCATTTGATATCAGACATGTAGACTGTACCTGCACTGGTTGGACCTAAAGGTGAAACCAATACCAATTTGCCGTATAGTGCAGTCATGTGGGCTTACAAATCAGTGTCTTGTGATGCTGTTACATACTGTAAATGGATTGGAGAGAATGTATGAGGTCATATTCAAATTGATATCAAATCAATAAAATTGTGGCAGTTAAACCCAGAATACACTGCATTTCTGTATGTCATTAGCCAATATATTATATGCATGAAATATCTAGAGCCAACCAGAATAAAATATCCGTCCGTCCGTCTGTCTGTCTGTCTGTCTGTCTGTCTGTCTGTCTGTCTGTCTGTCTGTCTGTCTGTCTAAATATCCGTCCGTCCGTCCGTCTGTCTGTCTGTCTGTCTAAATATCCGTCCGTCCGTCTGTCTGTCTGTCTGTCTGTCTAAATATCCGTCCGTCTGTCTGTCTGTCTAAATATCCGTCCGTCCGTCCGTCCGTCCGTCTGTCTGTCTGTCTAAATATCCGTCTGTCTGTCTGTCTGTCTGTCTGTCTGTCTAAATATCCGTCTGTCTGTCTAACCTTGCCTTATGGTGACACACAAAAAGGCTACAAACGTATATTATATAATGTCTAATCTTGTTTCTGGATCATAAATGACTGATTGAATGCTCTATGAAACAGGGTGAAATTATTTAAAGTCTTCGAAAACAAAAAGTCACAAAAAAAATTCTTAAATTTAAAGTTTTTTTTTCCAAAGATGTATTAATGGATAAACAAGAATGTATCAGAAGCATTATCATCTCATCTTTCTCATAATTTACATAAACTCTGGTCTGACTGCAAGAATGTTGTGAGAAAAGAAAAAAATCATTGTTAATTTGTATATATTTTAATTATAGATATATTTTAATTATATATATTTAATACATACAACTTTTTTTTCTTTTTTATTATTATTACTATTATTTTGTTTTATTATTTGTATTATTATTATAATTATTATTTTTTGTGTTTTATTTTTATTTATTTTATGTAATCCTTTCTTTGCATTATAAATGTTGCCTTGTGAGGTTTTTATTTATTTATTTATTATTATTAATTGTGACTTTCTCCTTGATTTCTAAAGGCTCAAAAATAAAAAATATAGTATATATATATATATATATATAAAAAAAATTAAAACAAATGTTGTACTATATTTGAACTCATCATTTTCTGAAATGTGTGGGAATTTTGTACCAGGTAAATTCTTCATATGTACGTTATCAATCTTTTATCAATTCTGCTGCTGGACACATACATTTCTCCTACGGGGGATCAATAAAGTATCTATCTATCTGTCTATATCTACTAAGACAAAAATGAGACTTTTTAAACATACAGGATAATAAAACCTGCATTGCAATGTTAGTCAGAAATATTACAATTGGATATTTTGACAGAAGCTTTCATTTACGTTGGCCGCCTCTGCAGAACGGACCTCTCATGATTCTGTCTTTTCGCAGGAGTTCGAAGTCATCGCTCAGATAAAGCTGCTGCAGTCGGCCTGTAACAGCTACTGTCTGCACCCAGACCCCAGCTTCCTGCGCTGGTTCAAGAGCCAGCCGCAGATCAGCGAAGAAGAAAGGTACCACTGCCTTCCACGGTCCCTTCGATAACAACCGCATTAGTGAGAGAAGTCATGGACGGTTGCATCTTTTGTCCCGGGGCGTACAATGAGAGCTCCTCGCACTCCTGCAGCTCCATTGTGCACTTTGTTTTGGCTTCTTTCTCTGTTCTTCTTTCTGCTTCTGCTTCCATGCTCATGCACAGCTTTTTTTCTCTCCACAATCTACTTACTAGTCTTCAAAGATGCATTACACTGCAAAAAGGGAGCAAACTAAGTGAAAGATGGCTCGAATTTGTTAAAAAGCCCATGCCGTGACTGCCTTAAAACAAGATTTACCAATAGGACAAGCAACAGATTCTTGTTTTAAAAAGAAATATCTTCTTCGTAATGAGAAAATAAAGCAACAGTTTTTGAAATGAGACTAAATGGCTTGTTATAGTAGACAGTCAGAATGTACACAAATTAGGATACAGACAATTAGATTCAAGCAATTATTACTTATTGAATTATCTCAATTAATTATCACTTTTTTCAGTGCATTATGTCCAGTGTGAGCGGGTCCCGGCTCAAAAGTGGCCAAAATGACATGCGCTGACATGCTGCAATACCATCCCGGGCCTGTGGGGGTGGACCCAGAAGTAGAATTAGCCAATGCTAACATATAGCATCTTCTTACCTCTGGAAAACGTCTTTACAGGATGGTCCAAAAGTTGGCTCTTGGCCCAAAGCTCCGTTCCACATGTGTGTCAATGCTGAGGGAGTGTTCTGGACCAGTCTAGTTTAGTCGCTGTGAATTTTTGAAGTCTCTCGTTTAAATGAATGGAGCTCGTGCAGCTGACGCATGCACAGATGCGTTTTTTCACATTTTTCCAGCCCCCGCGGCCATTTTGAATCACTCCATGAAAGCCCAATTTTTGGCCCATTAGTTAGAACGGTGGAGATAGGCCTGACTACGTCCATTAATATTTATTAATGTTTTTTATTAAGGGGAATAACCCTTTTCTAAGGGGGTCCTCAAAATCAAATTAAAAAATAACAGTACATCAGCAACAGTCACTTATATACAAAACAAAATGATTACATTAAACAAACACAAAAAAAGAAAACAGTCTATGATTATGTCCCAGGAGAAGGACTGCGAGCCCCAAAGATAATTTAACATAATAAACATTTGTTGTTTATTATGTTTTATTGTTCCTCTCTCTGCTAATCTGTGACACACTTTACTGTAACATTACTTATACAATCCTTACTTCTACATTTGCATAAACATTATTGATCGGAAACGATAAATAATCAAAAGAAGAAATCCACAGAAGTTAGTTTTCTGGAGAGGTAGAGGGGGTGGGGAAGTGGCCTTGGGGGCGACCCAGACAGTGCTAAAATATCCAGACCATGGCATTTTTACCCTTGTTGAACCTTGAATCAACGATAGCACACTGCAAAAAATGATCAAATATGAGATGATAATTGCTAGAATCGAGTTTTTTTAACTTGACTTAAGTTCATTCTGTCTTAAAATGAGATTTGCCAATGAGACAAGCAATTTTGACTTGATTCAAGAACTCTTTTTTTTTTTTTTTTTTTCATTTCATTTTCAACCCCTTTGTCCATTTCTGGGTCGGGGGGGTGGCAATGAGAGCTGCCCCCCAACGCTCACAGCACCAGTCCCTCTGATCTTCTGCAGGGGGTGAGTCCACAGGAAGATGGCTGCTCCGTCAATTGTGAAACAGCCTTGATCTTTCAGCGGGGAGCTTCAGGCAATGTGGGGTTAAGTGTCTTGCCCAAGGACACAACGACAGCAGTCATCAGTGGGAGCAGTTGGAGTAGGTCCCATGGTGGGAATTGAACTCACGACCTCCAGGCCCAAAGGCCAATGCTCTACCAACTGAGCTACTGTCGCTAATAGTTCTTAATAGCAAGAACTATTGCTTTATTTTCTCATTCCAAGAGAGAAATATCTTGTATCTTTTTAAAACAAGACATTTTTTCTTGTTCCACTGGCAAATCTTGTTTTAAGGCCGTCAAAATGTGCTCATATTTAGATACATTTAGCCACATTTGAGCATTTTTTTGTCTTTAATTCTGTCATCTTTTGCAGTGCAGTTATTGTGACAAGCCTAAATTACCAAGAAAACAGAGGCTGTAGGTATTTAGCATCAGAAATTTATCGTGCCAGTTACACAAATAGTAAAGTCTTATGTAAACGGACTTTATGGTGTATTTATTTGATCCCAGTTTGGTCCTGGCTTAATTACAAGACAGCCATCAGCTCACATTGTCATTCCTCTCTGTTGCAGCTACGCCTTATCCTGTGAAATTGAAGGGCTCGGTGACAGCAGTCCAACTTCACCCAAACCTCGGAAAAGCATGGTGAAAAGACTGAGCCTGTGAGTTCCAACAAGACACACAATTATTTACATGTGTTCACCCATTTCTTTTTTTTGCTTCCTCTATCGCGACTTCCTTCACATAAGAGACTGAGCTTGTAGCCGGAAAATCCAAAGCGGCACCTTCTTATAACTTGACTAAATATGGCTGTTTTATGTGCACCATTGTAGGGCTGCAAGAAACAGTTATTATTTGAATGAATTAAGCAGTTTAGAGCAAATGTGCGGTTTTTATATACACTACACCAGCCATTCCCAAAGTCAGTAACCCCCTTAAACATCTGACGGTCTGCGCACCCCCCCGAAATAATAACCAAGAAGACAACGTTAAAAATAGGCTCTTCTCGTTATTTTATGTGACAAACAAAATATTATTAATTTAACATACACTAATTATATAAAACATTATTATTATTTTTTATGACCTCTCGCGGCCTCCCTGCAATACCCTCGCGGCCCACCAGGGGAAACAAAACTATTTTATCATTACATTTAGACATTATTCTTTTGTATTTTGTATCTGTTTGAGTCCTTAAATCAAATAGTAAGTAACCAACTTTGAACCACAAAAATGAGACTGACAGAAAAGCTAAAAAGAGCTCTCATTATGCTTCCATTTTGTTGGGTTTGTCCTTTTTTGTGGATAATTGAAGCTAATCTTTATATATTTATATTTCAACTTCTGGAGACATTTTGGAGTTACTTCATCCAAAAGCTTATTGATTACTCATTTCTATTAGATACAGTATCATTATGACTTGAGCTGAAGATAAGCTAACGGATGAGTGTTGCAGACTAATATGTATATTTTTTATCAAACGTTCAATGAGAAAACGGCTTTAAAATGATGGATAACATGCCATAGTCAGAGTAGCCATAACGTTCAATGAGAAAACGGCTTTAAAATTCATGACCAACACTGCCAGTGTTTTTGACGTGCCTGAATAAAGAGAAATGAACTGAAGCTGTGTTTGTGTCTTTCATTTCAGGCTGTTTCTGGGAGCGGACAGTAGTTCTGCCAGTTCTCCAGTGAAAGACACGCCCCGCTCGCCCCCTACCTGCAGCTCTGGGGAGAGCATGGACTCCGTCAGCGTGTCCTCCAGCGATTCAGGCGGCCCGTCCGACAGCGAGGGTCTCACGCCGGTCCATTCCAGCTTCGTGCACGTTAAGGTAAAAACTTCATTCAAACATTTGTAGAGTGAGTTTTTTTCACTGCTGTGGTTTTAGTGTGTGAGAAATGTATTTTTCAACCTATTCAAACAACTCTATAACAATACTTTTCTATAATAAATATAGCAGGATCCCAATACTTGTTGTGCAATTATTGGCCTGTGGGTGGCGCCTGTGGGTTATGTCTGTGGGGGAGCCTGTCTAGCATAAATAGGCTCTCTCTAATGAGCTGTTCAGGTGTGCAACCCAGTAGTTTTGTTGTCGAAAAGATTGCATAAATAAACGTTGATTTTGTTATGCCAAAATGACTGGTGGACGATGCATGCTGTGGTCAAAGCTGACACAATAGCCGTCTGAAGCGCGTCAGCCATAGCGAGCGGTGTTAGGGCACATCTCAGTGGCACAGGTACAGGTTGATAAAAGGCCAAGACTGAAACAAAGACATATCAGAGAATTAAAGCTGGGGTACCTAACTTCCAAACCACTCAAATCCATGTTTGTTCCTGAGCCTAAAGCAGTGTAGATCTATCACTAGTTTTCACAGCATGTGTTATTGGCCTCTGTTTGGATCAGCTTTTCTCAGACAAAAGAGAGGACAACCCAACTCTCAGACCAAAGTGTCAAATAGTGACTCACAGGGCTCGTTCTTACACGTATATACAAAAGATTACATGATTCACGGTTTATGGTCTTGTTCTCAAAATGTTCCTTTACAAGATTCTTTCTGTTGGGACAAACAAGTCTTACTGTAGTGTTTAAAGCAGCGGTGGGCAAACCCCGGCCCGTGGGCCAGATGCGGCCCTTTGGAGGCCCCTGAGCCCTCCTCAATTTGTATAGATTAAGATTAAGATCAAGAGAGATTAGGATTAAGACCATTTATTCATCCCACAGTGGGGTAATTTCAGTTTAAACATCATACAATCCCCCTCTGTGCTGTGTGCAGAGCTATTTTTATTTATTTAAACATTACATTTGTGTTTTAAAATGAAGCTTGAGAAAAACATTGGAATATCAGACGGCTGTCGGGATCCGGGCCTAATCTCCAATGTGGCCCTCAGGAAGAAAAGTTTGCCCATGTCTGGTTTAAAGTCATCCTAATTTCAACCTTTTCAAGCTAAAATATGAAAGAATAAGAAAAATGTATAACAATCATAATTCTGCTGCAAAGATATTGTACATGTAATTAATAGTTGTACATCAAAGATATTTATTGCTCAAAATATACTACTTTTCTAACATGTTTGCACATTTCCCTGTCTTTTTGCACACCCTGAATGAACATATAAAGTGTTATCTTATCTGAGTATACTGTGTTGTTCCAGACCAATCTAATAAAACCATGTCCTCTTCGTCCTCCAGCTGTCAGACTCTTCCTCCTGCGCTTCTTTGCACTCCACGGACACCGCCTCGTCCAGCACCAGCGTTCCCTTGGTGCCCGTGTCCCCGCCTCACGTGGGACACACCCATCGCCGCTCCGCCTCCCTCACCCCGATGTCGCCCACCTCCCCCACCACCCAGGCCCTGCTCTACAACACCCAGGCCCAGGACGCGTGCATCGTGCGGGTCAGCTTGGAGCACGGCAACGGGAACCTGTACAAGAGCATCCTGGTGTGTACGCGGCTGCTCTGATCGGGATGTTCTGCTTTGGGTTTAGGACAGTCGGAATCTAAATATGTGTGTTTGGCTTTTACAGTTGACTAATCAGGACAAGACTCCGACTGTGATCGCTCGAGCTATGGCCAAACACAACTTGGATGTAGAGCCAGAGGAGGGATATGAGCTGGTGCAAGTTATTTCTGATGACAAAGGTAAAAAAATGCTCATTATGTAGCTTTGAACATGGTTTTAGACTTGTGTGTATATAGAGGTCTATTCAAATTAAAGTTGTGGTAAATAGTTTTGACTATGGAGCTGCAAAGTGGCAGTCTGCAAAGGTTCCAGAAGTTAAATTCCCCATCAGAAATCCCCATAGGAGTTGGCAAAGAATCAAAAACAAGGGGGTTTCAGCCAAAAAACGTAATCAAAAAGTAAAATTCTGCAGTCTGTGTTTTCACAATATATTATATATGGTATATGTATACAGTATTCGCAGATGAATACATACCTCTCTGCTCTGCGTCGTGCATTATGTAAGGGATAATGTACAGTACGCAGGTCATTATCGGAAAAAGTCTGTGAATTTATGTGTGTAAGAAATGTTTATCTGACTTTACTGAACTGGCCAGATACTACGGCTTGTCACCTTATTGACAGTTTATCTGATCCAGCTGTTACAGTTACTATGGCAACTACTGTGGCGGAGTGATATAGAGCATGATTATAAACTAGGGCTGTCAAACAATTAATTTTTTTTAGTTGATTAATCGCATAGTAATGATGAGTTAACTCATGATTAATCACATTTTTAACATTCTATTTCAAATCCACTCCAATTTAAGTTAAATGAGATTTTCAAATGTAAAGACACATTGTTATTCAGACCAAATGTTCTTAAATCTGTTTGACTTGCTCACAACCTTCTACTTTTGGGTACAACCAACAAGAGCTGTTAATGAAAGGAAAAATGTAGGTACCCCAGCTTTAATTTTGCGAGTTTGGTTGCATTTCAGCGTGTCTCCTCCTCTCCTCCATCATCAGAGAACATCAGAGAATGGCCCCTGTGCGTGTATATATATGTGTGTATTATATGACCACGTTACCGCTGTCACGTGTCCGCGGCATTCTGAGTGATATTATTATAAATGGGCGGGTCATTCGGACATGCGATTGACTGCCAGCCTATTTCAGAACAGGTACCCACAGAATAATGTGTACAATGACTATCTGAAATCCAAAACCAGATTCTGAAAGAATGGACTGTTTACTTTCATCAGCAAAAATTATTTTGTTTCTAGCTTGTTTCTCACAGACCATGGTGCACATGTATGTAGATGTGATGGTGACCTGATTGATGATCATACTGTACATATGTGAGATTGGAGTTGAAACAAACAAAATCGTATTTCTGACTCCAGCTCCATGTATGTTTTCAGAGCTCGTGATCCCGGACAACGCCAACGTGTTTTACGCCATGAACACGTCTGCAAACTTCGACTTCCTGTTGCGACTGCGGGGCTCCACGGGGCGACCAGTGCGTCTGCGCAGCCGCTGCAGCTCTGCGGTGCCCCACAAACCGCACCGCTCCAGCCTGTCCCTGCGCCTCAGCAAAGTGACTCTGTGAAGCCCAACCCCATAGGCTGTCGAAGGAGGGGAGGTCATATTGTTGGCCTTAATGCGGAAGAAGCCGATTAGAGCTAACTCGAACAGAATGTGGAGCCAAATATGTGGGTAGCAACGGCCGAGCAACCAAGAGCCAATCAGGAGCCAATGTTCTTGCTCCATAAAGTTGAATGTAGGGACGGAAGGCTCCTGATTGGTCAGTTGTTAGGGCTCGTATCTGGTTTCACAAAGACATTATAAAGATAAACGCCAGGATCACAGAGAGAATTAAACAATGGATTGTTTAAGCCCAAAATTATAACTGTGACACAAAGCGAGAGCATGAGAAGTTTACTTATCAATGTAAGCAAATTGGAGCCAGAGTGCTTTGGAGCCACACTCTGTCCACGAGCACTTCCCTGTTCTGGCTTAATTGAGCTAGTGGGTTAGCATTGTCCATCTATAGTCTATGATTGCACCATGGGCCCTTGTGAAGCCCACTCCACTGGACCTTCTGTGCCTGTTTGGACCCTACACACTGCATTCTTGACTCCTGCAGTGCCCCTGTTGCGTCAGTGGACTTCAGTGCCCGTATCTAAGTGCGGGAAAGTGCGACCCCCAGTGGCACTTACTCGCTATTGCAACAGATTTTTGCACATGTTTTGGGAGCTGAAAAACTCCTGACCTCTTAACAGTATTGTAAAGACTTTATAAAATTACCATGTGGTATTTTCTATGTTATTTGAAGTATTGAAGCTGACTGACTGTTATATAATTGAATTGCAGCGTTCTGAATGATATGAATTGATTGACAGTAGCTGCAATGTCTTCATGTGTTGCTGCTGCGTGTGGCCTGTGCACAGTGTGTATGTCTCCCCCTCTCATATTGTGAGCTATTTGACGAATGCAGTGGTGATGCATTCTGATCGGTTCTGTAACTTGGTTTTAACAAGTCCTTGGCGAATACAAACATGGCCTTTATAGCCGCCCTATCTTCAGGGTGAAGTGAAATAATGAAATGTCTGCTACTTTCTCTAAATGATGGCCCTGTGTGGAGAACGAGGGCTTGAATTGGAGGATATGAACGTGTCTTGAGCCAGTGGAGGCTTTATGATACCTCTGTGCCCTAGTGTTGATCTATACTTGCACTTGTCAGTAGAAGGAGATGCCAATGCGATGTGAAAGCACGAGTAGGAATGTTCTGTTGTGGGCTGGATTCCTGCTTCGCCAAATGAAGTATTATCTATGTTTGTCTTTTTTATATGTTTATTCAGGTGAAATGGAGTATGTTCTGTTGACCACTTTCCAAACATTCACACTAGGGATGCACCAATGTGGCTTTTTTTATTTTCAAACACCAATATCTTGCACTTTTTTCACCATATACAGTGTTATCTATTGAAGATGTCCTTTCACATTCTCCATCATGACAACGCAGATAGTCTCATGATTATTTGTAAAGACGAAAATGAAAGCGTAATGTGTTCTTTAACACTAGGAATCCTAAATGTTAAAGTATAAAAGATGTGGATTTAACTCATGTTTGTGAACAAATAATACATAATAATAAATAATCCCAGAATTCTTCTCTGGGACTTCCAGTAGTTTCAGTCATTTTGACGGCTCCCTTTCAATTGAATGGAATTATGAAAAAAGTTTTAGCTTTTTATCAAAATGAACTCATTCATACAGTTATTTATAAATACATGCTAAAACTGTTGAATATAATTGAAATCCTGCAAAACTAAATACTAACTGCTGCAAGTAAACTGTGTTGCTATGGTAACCAACACTGGCTGAGATTGCTCTGAACCAGTCTAGATCAAAGTAATTTTCATGAGCTTAACATAGAAATAAACTACATGTAGATACAGAAACAGTCACAAAGTTATGAAGACCAAAAACGTACATAAGCGAAGTCTTCACACTTCCAAAACGAACAGCCGTCAAAATGACTGCTGTGGGAGTTCTAGTGTTAATATGAAATAATTCTATTGTTGATTTTCTCAGGCCGTTTTTTTAATGCAATTGAGAAATCTACAAGTGACTTTACTGGCATTAAAGTAACTCTAATATTGTAGATGTTTGAGGGGCATACAATATATATAGTAGACAATATTCTATCAAAATGTGTTATTGTGACAGGCTTATCCATGACTTTCAGGGTTAGCCACTGTTTTTATTTTTAACCCTGATTCTGCCTTTCAGTCGCCGTATCAGCGTAACCACCATCATACACCTGTAACCATATTTAAAATGCTCGTTTGGTGTCGGTGCATCCCGAGTTTACACGTTTGGTTCTCTCTCTTTTGTTTGTCACGTCCCACTTTTTGTTCTCAAATATTTTTTCTTCTGTTTCTTTTATGCAGCACTTTGTTACGGTCATTTCCAGGTATCTTTTCCGCTGCCAAAGACTCCTCTCTGAGTAAATAAAGTATCTTTGCGTACTTGTCTTGTGTTTCTGTTGGCTGCAGTCACGTTTGCGTTGACCTTGTGAGGGGCTGTTCTGGCGTGGACCCAGCTCATCTGCTGAGTGCCGGACATTTCTGCTGACCCAAGACAGCCACTGACCTTTTTCTTTAAACTCTATTAAGCTGGTGCAGAGCCAGGCTTTTCCCAGAATAGGAAGATGTTATGACAACCGCAAATTTACCAAAATGCACAACATAAGCCCAAAATCACAGCAGTTGCCTCAAAAAACGTTACATAAGTATTGATTTTACCACGAGCCAATTACCAAATCAAACATATAAAAGTGGGAAATGTGTTCTCACTCTGACCAGTGTTCACAGGAATTAAGCAAACAGACTCTTCAACAGGGAACTCTCAAAATCAAATGCTATGGACACATATTAAAGGGGTTTTAACAAATGAATTGATTGACTACGACTAATCTAGTTTTGGAAGAACTTTCAACTAATTTGGTGGTCGATTAATCGTTTTTTGAAGGCCGACTGAGCCACTGTTTTGGGGCGACAGTGTCTTATGGATTCGAGTCCACCATAAGACCCACTTCACGACTCCCACTGATGACTGCTGCCGTTGTGTCCTTGGGCAAGACACTTAACCCCACTTTGCCTGAAGCCCCCGCTGAAAGATCTCAGGTCCTGTGGACTCAGCACCTGCAGGAGGATCAGAGAGGGGCTGGTGCTCTGTGACTGGGAGAAATGGATTAAGGGGAAGAAAATGGATGGATGAAGAGGTTTTCTGAACTTTGCACTATGAAGATGTTCTCCAGGGGCATTGTATTGGTCCAATGTGAAAAAAATCCTAAAGTTTTAATCAAAATCATAGTTAGTTCCAACCCTAGATCATAGTTAGACTGACAGGCTGTGGATGTGATAGACTGGCATCTACTATAAGTTGTGTTATTGAATACACAAAAACATAAAATTTATATATATTTTGAATCAAATCACTAATGGTATAATTCTGCTTACACCAATGTGAAGTGGTTAAAGCAAAATGCATTGTAACTATTCTACAGGATTTTTACTTTGGCACTTTTTTACATTGCTCCAGTGATTTTAATGCAATGTTTCAAAACGTGTGTGATTGGTAATGGAACCACAAAGGGCCTTTTCAGAGCATGTGGTGCATTAGAGGAGTGTGGAGGTCAGCCTCAGAGCGCCCTCTCACCAGGACCACAGCTGCAGCTTTAATCCTCCGCACAGGCTGCACCGGAGCAGCCACCAGACGGTCCTGAACAGCACCTGAGAGTGTGTGTAAGTGTGTGTGTAAGTGTGTGCATGCATATGTGTAAGTGTGTGTGTGTGGGTGTGTGTGTGTAAGTGTGTGTAAGTGTGTGTAAGTGTAAGTGTGTGTGCATGCATATGTGTAAGTGTGTGTGTGTGTGCATTCATATGTGTAAGTGTGTGTGTGTGTGTGTGTGTGTGTGTGTGTGTGTGTGTGTAAGTGTGTGTAAGGGTAAGGGTGTGTAAGTGTGTGTGTGTGTAAGTGTGTGTAAGTGTGTGTGTGTGTGCATGCATATGTGTAAGTGTGTGTGTGTGTAAGTGTGTGTGTGTGTGCGTGCATATGTGTAAGTGTGTGTGTGGGAGTGTGTGTAAGTGTAAGTGTAAGTGTAGTAGTAGTAGTAGTAATCTTTATTTATATACCGCCTTTTCACTGCACATCGGAGTCTCAAAGCGGTTTACAATTGTTATTTTTGGGAGTGGGGGTGCCAGAACAGGAGGCACATGCCAGACCTATTGTACATATTTTTAGTGGTAGGGGAAACCGGAGCACCCGGAGGAAACCTACGCAGACACGGGGAGAACATGCAAACTCCACTCAGAAAGGCCCTGGTCCAACCGGGATTTGAACCCAGGACCTTCTTGCTGAGAGGCGAGAGTGCTATCCACTCAGCCACCGTGCTGAGTGGATAGCCACCGTAAGTGTGTGTAAGTGTAAGTGTGTGTAAGTGTGTGTAAGTGTAAGTGTGTGTAAGTGTAAGTGTGTGTAAGTGTGTGTAAGTGTAAGTGTGTGTAAGTGTAAGTGTGTGTAAGTGTGTGTGTGTGTGTGTGTGTGTGTAAGTGTGTGTGTGTGTGTGCGTGCATATGTGTAAGTGTGTGTGTGTGTGGGAGTGTGCATGTGTGTGTGTGTGTGTGTGTGTGTGTGTGGGAGTGTGTGCGCAGGGACGCCGCTCCATCTGGCCCACAGTTCTTTCAAATGATGGACATGGGATGAAACAGACGTATCCAGGAAGCAGGAAGACAATATTGTGGTCTAAAATAACATGATATGACGATAATCCACTTTTATCAAGGGCCACACGCTGAGATCCAGAGGCAAACAGGAACAACGCTGTCAAAACTGCTGACATTTCAATTGGGGGAATTTAGCACAAATTAGCCAAAGCAAATAAGTAATGTTTTCTTTTACAGACCAAGGCACAGACCCAAAGCGCTTTACAAAGTTCAGAGTCAGATATTGTTCCAATCCTTCCACACACGGTGATGACAGAAGCGAGTCCAGAACACACTGGACCATCAGCTCCAACACCATCCATTCACTCTCTCATCTACATTCAGACCTATTGTGCATGTTTTCAGTGGTAGGGGAAACCGGAGCACCCGGAGGAAACCTATGCAGACACAGGGAGAACATGCAAACTACACTCAGAAAGGCCCTGTTCCGACCGGGATTCAAACCCAGGACCTTCTTGCTGAGAGGCGAGAGTGCTATCCACTCAGCCGCCCAAGAGACCATCATGAACTTTTGTGGAATTAAAACTAAACTAAATATAAATATGTTTAAAAAATGTATATATTAGAATACATAGATAGAATTTCAATTAAAAAAATGAAATTGTATCCTTTTTGAAAATACTGACATTTATCTAACAATGCATTATTCAATTATCTCACTCCTCGCGGCATCACACATGAGTAACTTCTCCCATGCATTAAACACTTGAAACAATATAACAAATATGTAGACTTGTTACATATATATTTTACACCATATTTTAGATCATAGTCAAGTCAAGGCCCGGGGGCCAGATCCGGCCCGCGAGACCATTTCCAGTGGCCCCTGAGATGATTTTAAATTATTATATTAAATAGCAGCATTGAGGGTAATAAGTAACAATGGCATGTTCTCCATTACTAATTTTCAAGAAAAAACCATAAAATGTAAGTCCATAAGAAATGTTAAGCCAACATGTAATTAGAAGTTAGTATATGTAATGTTTTTTACGAGTCTTCAATTACATTTCTTCTTAAAGATATGAAGGAGGATTTCAACATTTTCTAAGGAAAGAACCGCCCTCTTCATTTTTTGAACAAAACTCTCTGGTCTTATTTGATCAGCACGAATCACCAGAATGATTGACAGTTGGGAGGACCAATCGTCTTGATCACCCACCGAAAAGTAGAAAATCTCCCTAATATACCTTCAATGTTTGGTCCAGTTTTGGTTCAGTCCACAGGAACCAAACCTGGTTCTTTAATTCTAATTAGAAAAGAATGTCCAATCCAACTAATGTGAAAAAAGTCATTTATATTATAAAAAAGTATATCACTGGGTAACAAAAACATATTTTTTGAAAACAGTCCAGGGGTTTTCAGCTGAATTAGACCAATGTTGAGGCTCTGAGTCCGAAAATGACCTTGGTTTTGCTCAATCAGTTCAGGATTTTTTGCTACAGAAATATTTGTTTAAATCGATTTTGCGTAAAAAACTAATTTCTGCGGATCATCAGCTGAGAAACCCTTGACGTTTTTTCCGTTTTCCTCAAGAAATAAAAGTCAACGTATCCAAAGTCATTCAGTTTTTATTTACTCCAATTTGATAAGCAGAATTCATAATAACGTAGACGTAACACTATGGCTGTATCTCAAACAGTTGACCTGATAGAGCAGAATGCATAAGATATTCGGACTCAGAACACCAACATTAGTCTGAATCAGTTGAGAAACCCCTGACCATTTTTTGGCTGTCAACTTGTGTAATAAGTGAAACCCACTTATTCTTTCAGCCCCTGACCAGCCAGTTTGACACCCCTGTTTTAGATCAATAAAGATGCTTCTTGCTCCCTTTTTACAACCACTAGAACTATGAATAAAACTGGTCAAAAACAAATAATATAGAAAACCTTTAAAAAACGAAGTATTGGCTTATGGCTAATCTAAATGTATAAACTGTATACCTGAAAGCTTGGGTACGTCACTTTTTTCTTGAAAACATTTGCCACAATATGCCTTTATCCCCGAGCAGACCCTGAGGGACTGATGCATCGGGATACGACCCTCACTCGGCCACTTTGTCTGAAAAAGCTGATCTCAAGATATAGTAAGTAAGTTAGTAAGTTTTTATTTATATACCGCCTTTTCACTGCAGATCTGAGTCTCAAAGGGGTTTACAATTGTTAATTTTGGGCATTTGTCTCTCACTCCACACAGAGATGGGAGCGGGGTTATTAGATATAAGATAGACCAGGAGTCTCCAACCTGTGGCTTTCAGGTAGCTCTCCAAAGGATTTAGAATTTAACAAATGATCTTGAATGAATACATTTTGAGTCATCAGATATCTAATAAAGTATAACTATAGGGTTATACAGTATTATGGTATATTTTACATGTTTTGTCGTAATTATTAGATTTGTATTACGACAGCAAAAATGAGTAGCTCTCTGCCTTTTCCTTTGTACATATGTAGCTCCACGATTGAAAAAGGCCCCAGAGAGAGACACTTGATCTCACACAGGAGAAATGTCACACTTGGCATGGAGAGAATGTGACGGAGGATTTTATTATCGTTTCTGTTTTGTATGAACACAACAGAAAGACTCCTGTAAAAACACAAATGAGACAAAAAGAGTCCACCGTAATTCACTATTTATTGTCTTTTCAGTAAAAGTCATGACATGAAAACGTACAAATGTGTAAGAATTTAAGCACAAAAACCTGATTAAAAAGAGACTGTGAAATGACAATGTAAAATTATTGAGTTTCAAAATCCTTAAAGTGAATGTACCGAATCCAAACGGTCCCGCACAAAGACATAATAACATTTGCAAAGTACAAAAAGCTAAGGCCTTTTTTTTGTTTTGGTTAATACAAGCAAACGGAGTTACTGCTTCAACATTCATCACGCGTGTTATGGACTTTTCTGTATCATTTAATCATAGAAATCAAGACGCTAAAATAAATATCTGATAAGAAAGCACGTATAAACTATCACCACATGTCACCTGCAATAGATTTATTATTCAAAGAAAATAAATGTCTTTTTTTTTCAGTAAAATAGTTTGTACACACGACGTAAACTAACGGAAATATACAATTTGACGCCGGGCAAGAATACATCAGCTTATCGACAAAGAAGACGAGAGGATAATCTCGGGCTTTAGAAAGAAGAGAAGCGGCTGCAGCATTTGTGAAGTGGTTTAAAAACATGTGGAGAAAGACATAAAAAGGAGAAAGGACATTTTACCAAAGCACTGAACGAGAAAAGCCAAGGACAATAACATACAGGTACCTGAGAAATTTGACTCTGACAAATTAAAACATTAAATAATCAATTATCGCAATTTGTCAAATACAGGGTAAAATCTAAAAATTAAAATATAGTTCAAAAGTTAATTCATTTCTGTAATTAAATTTACATTGTTTGACAGTGTTATGAAAAACTAATGTCTTATAGTTGCACATTGTAAATTCACTTACAGAAGTGAATGGACTTTTGAACAATAATCAAATACAGAGTTTAATCTGTGTGTCAAGGCCCAACCCATTACACCCATATACTGTTTAAACTATAAAAATGACTGCTATGAGATAAATAAGTCAATTGCGTTCCGAGTATGTTCAGTCTATGCCCTGAATCTCTCATTTCTTAGTCGCTGTGCAGGTCCCTAACACGTGGGCCCTTCTACGTGCACGGTATGACTGTGGCTTGTCCGCAGCACCGCGCTGTGGACCGCTCGTGGTGAATGATGTTGATCTCTTCCGGCGTGTTCTTCAGGTGTGCTGGGCTGCCACCTCCTGTCCGATGAACCGCCGCAACCGCTCCAAATACTGGCTGTACAGCTCAATGTCATTGTGGCCCGCGCCCTCCACCCACAGCGGCTCCACAGCCTTGGGGCAGCGCTCAAACAGGGCCAGTCCGTGGGTGAAGTCGATGACCTCGTCCTCTGTGCCGTGGATAATGAGCACTGGAGAGCTGATCCTGGAAACCTTCTCGATGCTGAAAGTGACAAAGATAACATTAGTCAGCGTAATCTATTTGATCGAGATTGGCTGATTTATGGGCCCTTTTTGATGCTGTATTGCAGGGGTGGCCAACCAGTCAGAAACTAAGAGCCAATGTTTTTTACTGTGTTACAGCAAAGAGCCACATCATACAAATGTGCACAACATAAACATCACCCCATCCCTTACACACGCACGCACACGAGCAGACACGCGCACACACATGCAACCTGTCTGAGCAGAGAGAGGTGTGCTCTGCTCAGACAGATGTATTGTAAATGTCATCAACATGATAATGACAGAAATGGACTCGTACAGTACTAAAGGGCTGGACTCGACTCTCCCTGGTTTGTGGTCGCTTCAACCGCTCCCCGGTACTTTTTATTAATGGTCTGGCCCTGGTTCTAACCGGGCGAGTCGATACCAGAACAATCTCACGTCAGCGAACATCAATTATGATTCCGAAATGAATGCTTTCAATCTCTAACCAAGAAAAAAAGATCAAGTTTCAACCCAGTGTTCAGCAGAAACACAACTGTCTTTATCGAACCATGATTCACTCTGACTGCGTTTAGCAAAATATATAGATGTGACACATAACACCAACACCACGTTAGCTGATTTAGAACCACAGACACATGCTCAGTATAATACCAGATACTTTTGCATTTGATTGAAGACAGACACTCACCAGGCAGAGTTGGCTTATCTCCTGGTGTAGCTGGTGTTAGCTGGTTTTAGCATGTTAGCCGGTGTTAGCCGGTGTCCGTAAATTTAATCCATTTGGTCAAACCACCTCCAGACTTTTCGGGTCTGCCTCTACTTCTGCTGCTGTGATCTTTCATTTCACGGTTGTCACTTTTAAGCTTTTTAACTTTTATCTGCATTGTCATGTTCGTGGGAATCATTCTGCTCCGTCCTTAGTGCTAGCTCCACAAACACCTTCTGGTTTCTGGTGGAACCATCGAGCTCACGCTGGTGTCCTCGCCTCAAACTGAGGAAGGTGTTGCCCTCATCCAGCGACCAAGGAATTGTTTTGCAGAGTGATTGACAGCGCATCTGACCAATCAGAATTGACATTCGCCGACGTCAGATTGTTTTGGTGGCCCGGCTAGTGGAGTGAAGTCGGCCTTTACTATGGGTCAGAACTACATAGGGAATGGCAGCGCCACCACCGAGGCGTTTTTGAAGCTTGTCGTGTGAAAGCCCAAGAGCCGCACGGAACCAGCCAAAGAGCGGCATGCGGCTCACGGGCCGCGGGTTGGCCACCCCTGCTGTATTGGGACAACACTTGATTCTGTTCTGTATAATATGATAATCTACGACCCCCGTGGCGGTTTATTAAATATTTGTATATGAAATTATTGGACTTCATTAAATATTTGTGGCAATTATAAGTTTTTTTCTTTGGGTAAAATTGGTTGCACAGGGTGGGTATATCCTCCACATATCACAGAAACAAAAATTGCCAATAACAGTAAGTAATATTCAGTGTCGGTTGAGAACTGAGTGGAGAGACGGCGGGATGTACATGGCAAAAATCCAGATAATTAGAAATTGAGGAATGCCATTGACATGTCAAGCCTTTTTTTTCATTTAATTATGATTATAGCTTGAAAAAAATAAAAAAATTCCAAAGATCAGAGTATCATGAAAAAGGACTGTAGTCAGCTCTATGTGTCTCTATCATCAGCTAACTCGGGGGTGTCAAACCGGTTCCAGAACAGGGCTGGTGTGGCTGCAGGCTTTAGTTCCAGCCTGAGCAGGAGCACACGAGACTCCAATTTCCAAAAATCTTGAGGTTAAAACTGAACACACCTGAGGATATGGGTGGAGTCGGCTTTACTCCTGTTGAGGACGGAAGTAAAAGCTGCAGCCACACTCCATGACTGAGCTGTTAGAAGCTTGCTTAAATCATTGAATTATTTGCTTGTTCATCTCAAAAGTGCTATCAAAAATAACTCTTAAATTGTGGACATAAGAAGTGGCTGTACTCAATGCATCACTCAGGTCAAGCATTGAGGTCATGAACAAAGAAAAGAGTGGGGCCCACTATAGAGCCATGTGGGAGACCACAAGTTTTCCACAGGGCAAGAGGAGTTCCAGACCAGACTTGTGAGGCCCAAGGTGGACAGAAAAATGTGGCAAAAAATGCACAACAACTCCATTTCCAGTCCGAGGCCCCGTTTATACGGAGGCGCTGCGCAGACGTTTCCAGGCTATGAACAGAAACGACCAGGCTCCTAATGCAAATTTCACAGCGTTCATACGAGGAACAAAAACTATAGTTGTAGCGCCCGGCCAGTAGTGGGCAGAAGAACTAATGCACCAACATCATTCTGCATTTTGCTGCGAAAATATAAACTGAAACTAGAGCTTTGCGTGGTTTCGTTTGAACGGACGAAGGAGTAGAATCATCCTCTGTGTAGCGCTCGAAGCACACGTAGCTAGTTAGTGCACCCGCCGCCATTGTTGTTTACGTTTGGCTACTGCACAGGTCCAAGTGTACGTGCGGGAGCAGCGGGAGGTGGGAGTCAGAGCAGGCAAAGAATTCACACGTTTTTCCCTCATGCGGGTGTGAAAAAGAGCTGTCCCACTCTGAGGCTGGATCTTAACTAGGGCTGGGCGATTAATCGATTTTAATCATTAATTCGAGTTTTACGTTTAAGGCGATTTCTTTTTTTTTAAATTCGATTTTTATTTTCTCCAGCGCTATCGCGCTAACCGCGGGTCTATGGTGTTGAGCAGTCATTTTGAAGCTAACCTAATGCTAACAGTCTCCCTCTGGCCTGATGCTCGCTCTCACAGTTGGTGCTGTTGCAATAACACTTCAAACGTTCAAGAATCAGACTTTATTTAAATCGCCAGAACACACACACACACACACGCAGGCTCCGGTCGCTATGTTCGTACGCCATGTTCGTACGCCACATCTTTCACGCTCTCTCACGCTCGTTATTCCAAAGCGCACTCCCGTGTCCGTGGCGCGCACACACTCGTGTCCCACTGAGCCGCTGCACTTTGGGGAAAGACACGTCTCACACATTGCTCTCATTGCTCTGATACAAACAACGTGTTCCCCGCTGTCTGTTAGCTACAGTAGCTGCTACAGTAGCTGTTAGCTACAGTAGCTGCTACAGTAGCTGCTACAGTAGCTGTTAGCTACAGCATCAGAATGTAAACAGGAAGCTCGCACAATGCGGGAGTCACTGAAGTTAGTATTAGCGCCACCAGCTGGACCGAGCGTTGTACTACAGCACAGTTACTCAGGCACAGTTGAAAGAACAAGCATGAAAACCCGAGGAGGCTTTTGGAAAAGACTGTTACAACATTTCTATTTTGAGTAATCAGTTTTAAAAATGTGATATTTCATGTAAATAATGCATGTGTTTAATAGGATTGATACATTTGCGATGGGCCTTGTTTGTGTGATTTAAGTTATTTTGAAGGTGCATAGTGTCATTGTAAGTGAAGTTATTATAAAACTGTTAAGCTACATTTTCACTGTTTACAATGGCAGAGCCATCTCGTTTACAAGCATGTTTTAAGGCTTAATTCCTGTTACACTTATGCTCCATGGGGATTTAGATTAAACTGCATAAAGGAAAATCTATTTCTTTGTCAGTTGTAGTTTGTTTTTAAATAGAAAAAAATAAATCGATTAAAATCAAAAATCGGATTTGGTGTGAAAAAATCTGAGATTTTTTTTTTTTGCCATATCGCCCAGCCCTAATCTTAACTCTTACATTTTCCCTGGAACACAGTCTCCGTATAAACGGGGAGTAGCAACCGACATCTAACTATAGCGTTTTACTGCCGTATTGTCTCCGTATAAACGGGGCCCGACACAGCTGCTTGCGACCATGTCAAGCCTGTACCGTTCACATCGCTCCAGATGGGAAAGACAACTAGAAGGATATCCTCATTTAGTAAAATCAGTCCGTGAGGACTTTATATTGTTCAGATGACTTCCATCGGATGCTTATAATGACTGTTATAATGACTGTGGCTTTGATATTGAGACTCAGTGCACTGTTTAAATCCACATGTCACTCAAACTGACTTTTACAAACTTGTGGTTTTCATGCACGTCCGTTCCTCACCTCCTGGAGGACAACAACGCAACGGAGGAGAGTTTAGAGGAGAAAGTGGGTGTTGAGGTTCGAGTGCGGCGGCCTGGTGCAGCAGAACAGAGGTGGTGCATTTGGCCCGTAAGGTGGGACATTAACCAGTTTAAAGCTGTGCCTTTAAAACCAGTGTTAGGAGAAAGGCCTACAGTAGTGGTACGCGGATCGTTTGGAACCTGGCCGCAGAGGAAAGGATAATTAATTTCCATTTTTATTATCCATGTCTAAGCAATCCTTATTTTAAATTTAATTGCTTAGAGGGAGTCAAAGGTCTGTTTAAGAATTATTTTGGGGGTCCAAGTCTGAGGAGATTGGGAACCTCTAGTCCAAGTAATGCAACCCCACTGCTGCATTTTTAGATCATCAGAAAAAAGGTAGATTACAAAATCCACTGATTAAACACCTGTGTGGAATACAAAGTAGTCCTGCTCGCTATGCACAGACACTACGCAACAGACTGAAACACAAGCTGGAAGCTCTCTGGTTTCACCACTCTCTCACAGCGTTGACAATTGCCACTAGTTCAAAGTGTTCCTCTGCTTTTTTATGTCCAGGAGATGATTTACACACAGTGCAATCAACATGAGTGACAGTAAATCCATCTGAGACCCTATATCTGTACAAAGTGAATCTGAAGTTCAATATTATGCAAAGAAAAACAATCAGTCCAGGGAAGATAACAGCTGCCGGATCCTTCTCTCCCTGCGGCCTGTAGTATCTGAAATTGAATATCATTGAGTCGGCCTACTTACCTCTTCAAAAGCCAAATTCAAATAAGACTCGTGTTCACAATCTAAAATGATAGCAAACATTCAGCCACAGATGTGTGAACCAAAGACCCCTTTCACAAGAGGCAATTATAGCTTTGTGTTGGCATTTGTAATTATGCAAGCACGCTGCCAAACAGATGAAAGTGTGACAGGGTTTCCTCCAGGGGGGGGGGGGGGGGGGGGTTGTGTGTGATTATTATTATTTCTTTCTGGGGCATTGGACCTCGTTTGGCCACTTTTGAGCGGGGACCCGCCCACACTGGGTAAGAACCTTTTTTTGTCGCTCAGTTGGGAAATTTCAAATGTCATCATTGCGCACATTACAGCAGAATAAAGGAAAATAAGAGCACTCAGGTTATGCACACAAACAGGATCTATTAGTTAAGATAATAGATAATACAATAAAATATAATGAAAGTATGGAGCTATAATTGCACTTGGTTCATTTGTGGAAGGGGCTTACCTGGGGAAGGGATCAAAGCAGTATGTTTTCTTGGTGTCAGGAAATGCCACCCTCATCCCGGAGGTGAGGGGAGAGTGCAGGACCACAGCCGCACACTCGTACCTGGAGGACAGGTCCACTGTGGGGACGGTCCCGATGCTCTGTCCATACAGGATGATGTTCTCTGGGCTGATCCCATACCTGCAGAAACACACAAGAACTATCAACACCACGGATACTGAAGAGGGATCCTGTTACCTGAAGCACATGGAAGATCTGATAACTCTGTCCATGTTTTACAGATCACAAAGACTGCATTTAACTCATGGACTGCCATTGACGTATTTGGCTGAGACTGGTGATTTCTGTAAAACTTCCCTCTATTCGACTGGGGATTACAGGAGAACAAAACTAGCTAGAATCCAAAATATTATTGCTGATAAAAGTAGGCGGTTCAATCTTTCAGAATCTGGTTTTATATTTAACTTAGTCATAGTAAAAAATATTCTGTGGGTCTTGAAAGTCAGTGAAATGATCAAAAACGGGTGGCAGTCAATGAGTTAAGCAGTTTGAACAAACTAAAATAATCAATCTATCAATTCTTTATTATCTCACAAATGGAGAAATTCAGTTCGATGAATAAACATCCAGGCTGGCTGCGTACTGTTTTCATATTTTCGCGCTCCTTATGACGGTTATTCAACAGCAGAGAGCAAATGAATCATACATTTCAACAGACATTATTGGAGAGGAATATTACATGCAAATCTTTTTAAAAGGGACATTATCACTATCAAACATTTCTTAAATAAAAACAACAAATATCATGATTTCAGTATAATTTTACTCAAATGAATATATGTCAATGGACCAATAAATGTTTAGCCTTATGTGGTTGCATCATCTGCCTCAGCGGGATAGTGCGTTTAGCTTCCAAATCTGCTTTTCTACATTACAATGATATGATATGAAGACAAAACACAGCTTAAACACTTCATCATATTTTGTATCATTAACACAAACATTTGGTTCTATTATTGTTTATCAATGTACTTACCTTCAAACGTATTGTCAATCGCAATTGTAATGTTAACCAGAGAAATCACAATGACACAGGCCTGCTACAAGCAATTAGCAATATACTTGAATCTGAGCTTAACGTCATGTAAGTAGTAGTAGTAGTAAGTAGTAAGTAATCTTTATTTATATACCGCCTTTTCACTGCACATCGGAGTCTCAAAGCGGTTTACAATTGTTATTTTTTGGGAGCGGGGTCGCCAGTACAGGAGGCACATGCCAGAACTATTGTACATATTTTTAGTGGTAGGGGAAACTGGAGCACCCGGAGGAAACCTACGCAGACACGGGGAGAACATGCAAACTCCACTCAGAAAGGCCCTGGTCCAACCGGGATTTGAACCCAGGACCTTCTTGCTGAGAGGCGAGAGTGCTATCCACTCAGCCACCGTGCTGTCATGTCTTCACCTCCTTCATCACACCATCGTCCTTGAGACACACCCTCTTTCCGCCAATCTGTCACTTTTATTTCCTTGGCAACACTTCCTCCAGCTGCTCTTAGCAATTCTCTGCGTCCTCATTTACCTGACAGTAACACACACTCGTTGGCCCTTTTCCCGGGAGGTTTGATTAGAACTCAAATGCTTCTTTTTATAGTAAATAAATCTCAACACGAACCTGCTCCTGAGAGCGTTCCAGGCGGCATCGATGTCGGCGTACAGGTTCTTCTCCGAGGGCTTGCCGGTGCTGACGCCGTAGCCCGAGTAGTCGTAGGAGAAGATGTTGCAGTTGATGCGAGTCCCCAGTCCGATATAGAAAGTGCTCATCTGGCCCAAGTCAACGGCATTACCGTGAGAGAACAGCACGGTGAATCTGAAACCAGCAAATTGTATATGTATATTTTTTTTTTACATGTCTGGTGTTTCTAGTTGTGGATAATTCAGTCAACAATTCAGACAAAATATATATTTTAAAAAGGAAAAAAATAATAGGATGTGTTAATTTGACATCACAACATCCTGAAATGTTCTAATAAGACAAAAGAGTTAAAGTCAACATGATAATGCTTTCCAATTAGCTCGTAAAAATATAAAAGAGTAAGTAGTAAGTAAGCTTTATTTATATACCGCCTTTCACAGACCAGAGTCACAAAGCGGTTTACAATTGTTATTTCTGGGCATTTGTCTCTCACTCCTCACAGAGATGGGAGCGGGGCCAGTACAGGAGGCGCATGCCAGAACTATTGTACATATTTTTAGTGGTAGGGGAAACCGGAGAACCCGGAGGAAACCTACGCAGACACGGGGAGAACATGCAAACTCCACTCAGAAAGGCCCTGGTCCGGCCAGGATTCGAACCCAGGACCTTCTTGCTGAGAGGCGAGAGTGCTATCCACTCAGCCACCGTGCGGAGTGGATACATAATGAACTTTCTAAATTCAATCCAAAGAGCCTATAGTTTAACATTGTATCTAGATTTCATATTGTATTGTATGTACTTTATTTGAACAGGGACAGTTAAGCATTAACACAAAAGGAGAGATGCATGTACCAGGTTATAGCAGAGAAGCTAATTTCCACCTTCCACAGGCTGCTGTTATGTTCATTTAAACTGATTACAATGTAGATGGAGTCCTTAGATACGTCCTCCACCACAAATATTTCCTGGTGACAGAGCCATCTTCACGCTCCACGATGGTGCGTCTTTGCTTGGACCCGCATGAACCAACTGCCGTTTGTAGGTGCTACACATACAACAATCCACACAGTCGTGGGAGACTTTTGAGTTTGACATTTTTTAATAACACAAACTATCGGCATAGCCCAAACATAACTTTCATGCATGTTATTTGAATGCTGAGATGAAGGTTGAGATGGGTGTAAAATGTACACCACCTCCAGACTCAGTATATTCTGTACGCTCACTTCCAGAACGATAAATCATTTGGCCGTATGCAAGTTTCATTAATGTGGGCAAATGTATCCAGATCCTGGGACAATCCGCGCAAAACAAAAGCTGTCACTAAGTTCCATACCTTCTTTGTCAGAATATATCAACCATGTTCTTTTCAGTCAGTTTATGTCTTTCCAAAAAAGATGTCTAGGAGTGGTGACAATACTAAAAACACATGCATGATGTTGGCCAGGAGAAAGGACTTCAACACAAAAGACTAATATGTATATGTAATATAGTAAATGAATCTGGGGAAACTTCTGAATGTTTTCTTTCTGTAGAGTAGTATAGACACTTGCCCTTAGACTGAATACAGAAGTCTAAATTCTATGTTTGTTGGGAAACTTAATACATATTCAAATTAAGTTTTTGAAGTCCTGACACAGCAGCATTGTTTATGAACTCTTGCAGCTCGGGGCTTAGCCTTTGGCCCCGAACTGTCAAGACATCCCTGAGGCCTCCTCCACATCCAGAGTGGCTTACATTGATTCCAGTTCAAAGAAAGATTGTATTCAGTCATCTTTAATAGACTGAAAAATAAATGTAGCTTTTACAGTTGAATTTAAAACAGAAAAACAAAACGTGTAAATTTTTAATTCCCTGTTTAATAATTAAAGCTGGGGTACCTATCTTTTAAAACAAACACCATAATAAGATCCATGTAACGTAAACCAAACTGTTGTAGAGCCAGGAACTATCACCGCACTAGTTCTCACAGTCATGTATCTTTGGCCTTCATCAAATGTTAGTATCAGCATTTTCACAGCGTTCAGAGGAAGGACGACCCCCGTTCAGCCAATCAGCTTTTAGCCCAGTATGCAAATGATCAAATGATTTTCTAATGGGAAGATGAGTGGTTTTGGAATCGTAAGAATCTGCTTCCTCCAACCATTTTTCAAACCTTCTACAAATATCAGTTACTTTGTATCGGTTTGAAATAAACAACTTAACTTTGACAGCATATAATCTTTCTTATTCCATCTATCTTTCTGTTGGGATAAGCAAAACATTTTATTAATTGAATTATGAAATGGAAATGTAAAGTGATTAGTAATGTAATGCTACTTCTCATAACACTAGACTTTTCCAATAGAATGTAAATAATAAACACATGATTGTTTAAAACCATGCTGGTGATAACATAACATATAAAAAGAAGTTTGAGAGGCAGATTTCTAAGTTGCTTGTTATCGAGGTTCTTCCAGTCAATGTTTGCTCGACAACCACAAGATACAAATATGTTACATGTATCTACCCACCTGGCATTGGGGGCACAGCGGATGTACATGCAGGCCACATTGTTGCCTCTGCTGGATCGAGTTAGGAAGACTTCAGTCATGTCCAGTTCTCCTTGTGAATACTGAAACTCGGCCCGGTCGGTCAGGTGGAGCTTCCATCGTTCGTCTGCCCTGAGCCCAGTGGTCCCTGGGGTGGGGGAACTGCTGTCTACATCTGGTAGAAATCTGTATGTGGGCTCTGGGGGGAGGAAGGCCAGCTTTGAGGCGATCTGACTGGGGCATGGGGGACAGCAGAAGAGGCAGCAGAGCTCACTGAGAGAGAGGCCATTCATCCTTAACTGTGGAGGACAAGAGGAGCAGTGGGGCTATTATACACGTGGGCACAATAGGAGGCTTTCCATTTATATGTACATGACAACTGAGCCTAGGTCAGAGTATTCAGAATTAGGGCTGTGCCAGATTGTTATATTGTTATATGATTCTGATTCCGATTATTGAGACTCAATACACCAATAATGAGGTAGTAACAGCAGAGGTAGCTGAAGGAGTTAACCTCCCTTTAACATACTCTGTTCATAAAAGTAGAATAAATAAAGTAGAATAAATTCAAATCAAAATTTGAGATTGTGTATTAAGTGAAGAACATTTTGTTTATCTTTTTTTGCCCATATCAACCAGGTCTGTAACAATACGATATCCAGAAGACATTTTGTACTTTTAACAAAACATGGTTAACATTGTTACAAGAGTTTGCTAAAGCTTTTACAAATGTCATCTCAGTTATAGATGTAATGTATCTTTTACTTCCTGGTAGCCATTGATGACATTATGCAAGGGATGTTACTTAGCAATCATGTAATAAACGGAAACTAAAACTCCTTCAATGTACAAAAATGATAATGCTGCTTCAACCACAAAACGTTTTTGTAGTTAATATTGTTAAACTTTCAGGTAGGTCTTTGTCCAACCCTAGTGTTGAGTTATTGGTTCAAGAAGATGTATTTTTTCCTGTACATTTTCAAACGTTAATTAAACGTTAAATAAAATCAGTGTAATTCCACCAAAACCTACAGCTATCCATGTTTGTATGTATGCAAGTATGTATATGAAACACAATAAAACTTGTCATACGTACTTTAAGTTATTACTTAGTTTGGACCTTGTTACTTAAGGGAAAACATGACAGATTTCCATGTTATTATGACCACAGCATAGACAAGCAAATATGTAATTCAATATTAAGCCCATCCAGCTTTTAGTTTGATTCACTAACTTAGACCCACCTGTTGATCTGAAGTGAAATATTTAGAAACGGTGGAGTAATAGGAACAAGGTGGAAGTCCTTTTCAGTCTGACATGAAGCCTTCTGAGCGCGGGGGAGACTCAAGTCCAACCTGTAGCCCCTGCTATCGATCTTGGGAATGGTTAAGATCCATTTCGTCCACCTTAAAAGAATCACAAAGAGGTAAACAAAGCGTCACAGCTGTTCCTACTACTACCTTCAAATGGAGCGAATAAAAACCCATCCATCCATCCATCCATTTTCTACCCTTTAATCCATTTCTGGGTCAGGGGGGTGGCAGTCAGAGATGCCACCCAAGTCTCATAGCACCAGCCCCTCACTGACCCTCTGCAGGTGGTGAGTCCACAGGAGGACGGCTGCTCTCTGAGTGTGAGCATAGCCTTGATCTTTCAGTGGGGGCTTTGGGCAAAGTGGGGTTAAGTGTCTTGCCCAAGGACACAACGACAGCAGTCATCAGTGGGAGTCGGTGGAGAAGGTGCAGAGGTGGGAATAAAAACCGTAAGTCCAAAAACATTTTGCAAGCCAACCTAAATGTGTCCACAAACTCTTCCAATCATTGAGGTGTTAGAGAATATGTGTCAAGATCAAACATTATGGTTTCAAGACGACAGATAACACTTGTAGATGCTCTTCCAAGCTAAGGCTAAGCAGGCTTAAGCTAGCACGGTGCCATATAAGCATCAGGGACAAAACCACACTCTCTGTAAAGATACTGTACGCTTACCCGCAGGCTCATTATGATCTGCGCCTCTTCTTTAACTTTCCAAATGTTCTGAGCAGTTCTGAGCAGTTCTGTGCCGGTGTGAGCTGTCTGTAAAAGCGGCCTTGAAAATCCGCTCGGCTTCTGTCGCTGATGTGTGTGTTCCGCATTCTGATTGGACGACAGCAGGAACGGAGCACTCTCATTGGTTGATTCGCTCTCTAACGCGGAAGTGCCAACTCGGGTGGATCTTGTGATTGGCGACTCCCCAATTTGCGTCAACATGACATCTGCGCATGTCGACGCTCAGTCCGGGCGTCACATTTCATATAAAATTACAGTACAATTGTACTGCCAGAAACCTTTACATATATATAATACAATAGCAAACAATGTATTCTTTTATAGCCCTAAATCACAACAGAAGTCATCTCAGAGACTTAACAAAACCATTGAAATCACCAACACAGATCAGAGAATCAACAGTTTAAACACATAAAGAATATAGAACACATGTTGAAAAATGTCATACATGTTGTAGAATGTTAAAGTGTCCTGGATCATCACCACAGTCCTTCTAGTTGGACACTAACTGCCCAACAGACCCTCCTGCATCGGCAAGGAACAAATATATAAGTAACTTAGAATAATACATGCATTTACCTGACGCACACATGACCTGGAGGGGGTTCCTCCTGTTTGTTTACAATAATGACCAAGGATCACACCGTTTCATTGGACTACATCTAAATGTGAGTTTACTCAAAAGAAAACAGAAAAGTGGAATATTTTGAGGACATTAGTGATTTTTTATTCCCCAATTCATTGAACTATAAAGTCCAAGCACCACCTGGTGGAGTTCATGTTCACTCCACAGACAGTAACATGAGTGGTCACTACACGACCTGTTGGGGAAACACTGGACCCATTTACACAGCGGATCCTTCTCCAACATTTCAACAGCTGTTTGTTGCAAGTCAGGCCTCTAAACTGAAATACAAATAAACCCTGGTGATTGCAATATCCCCGTAGTCGAGGTAAAAATTACAAAATGGGACTTTAAAAGGAGTGCTCAAAAATATATTTATGGAAATCTACAACTCATTGCCTGAAAAAAAGTGCATATCATACATTTTATATATCCAGTCTTTTGAAGATTAACATGAGTGCATTTAATCATTCTACATACATCCTTTCAAATAAATGTTCCTCCCTCAAAATGGAAATATATGCACTGATCACCTGAATAGCAAAATAACTTGCTATAATGTGTTCAAATTTCTATAAAGTACTGTTCAAAAATAGGTCTAATCTGGATAATCTGGCCAAGATTATGCATCCAGCTTTAGGAGTACAAAAGAAAGATATCACAAGTGTGCTTTAAGGTGGCCATAATCAATGCACCAATCCATCTTTCTCCAGCTTTATGGAGGCAGAATTCTTTGACATTGCCTCGGTCTTCTCTGCAGCCTGGAGGGAGCGTCTTCAGGTGGAGCCCACAGCAGGACCTGAGCCAGCTCACATCACTATCTCACATGTATCAGTATCCAGAGTGTTCCGGCCGCTTTAGGCACCTTAGGCACGCCTATGGCACAGCGGTCCAGGGACTATAGACGAAAATAAGCTTTGTGATCAATTAGGTGCATTTATGGAAATGTTATGTAAATTAATGTACACAATGTGTTAAATAAAAATGTTGCCTACATCGCTTGGTGTGAATTCATGATCATGAATTTAGTCTGCCCCAAGGCTGCTGAGGAGAACCACCATCAACATGAAGCATATACATGCAATGTAAATGCTTTATGTGTCATAAAAGGCTTCATTATACACACCAATTTTCATATTTATATATATATATATATATATATATATATATATATAAATATATATATATAAAAATTATATACACACGCATTACATATACTTTTATAATTTGTTTCTTAGTAGCAACAACAAAAGAATAGAGAGACAAGCATAATTTAAAATAAACTTTGTGATTTTATTGTTACTTTTACACACCATACAATCCTAATATTTTAAAGAAAGTCAAAAAATAATAATAAAATACAAACAAAAAAGATCTGGTGGCATTGCAGGAGACTGGGGCGCCGCAAATGTGTTTTCATTGCACCGAATTCAAAACTTTGATTTATCTGAATGATCTTTTCTCAACCAAAAATGTCAGTCCAGTTTCAGAACCAACAAAGACAATCATTGTGCACGTTATATTATGCCACAAGATGTTCAAACAAAATATAGGGGTCCATATACACAATCGAAGACCATTGATTATTGTACGTGTTGTTTTAAGTATCCCAACTGCTGGTGATGAGTTCTTTCAAAAGCGGTTTGCATCGACCTGGTCTGGTGACGATGTGTACATTCAAACTGCTCAAAATCTTGAAAAATACAATGGTGGTTGATATGAGCAGTCGACAGAATTAGCAAGTGTTGTATGCCGGCTGACAGTTTCACTTTTGTATGTGGGTTTTGCTGCATCATTAACTTAAGATATTAATTTGTTGTGAGAAATGCTTGCATAAAGAATTACACCAGCAGTCAACTTTTCATTGTGGGCGACTGTACAAATGCTAAATAGGCTAAGGCTTGCATTATACACAACCAAACTCTCCATTCCGATGGATTTCCAATTAGGTATTCATTAAATGTCTATCTCTACTAATAAGGCTTAATGTAATATGAACTGATTTTAACTTTATAAACATGATCAGGTTCAAAGTAACTCGTGCATACAAGAATCAGTCATTCATTACTCTGAACATTCTCATGGACCATATGCAATAAATATACCTTCGAACCTTTCTACAGCTTTTCAAATAAATAGTTTATCATTATGTTCAAACATTTACAAGGAAAGCTAATACATGTTAAAGTATCAATGGCCCTGTGTCAAGTCACATACAATGTTTCTGATACATAGAATAGTTTAAATGGGATCAGCAGAATTATACTTTGCACTGGAGTAAAGATGGCATATGGGCGTGTTCAAAGTGAGATGAGCCTAAATAATGGATAAACTGTATTTTTCAGTACACATTATGTGGGTAAATGACATCTTAACAAGGAACATATGCAATGTGTTGTACAGTTTCATACAACACACATTCCTTAACTGAAGAAATGTATCAATACGAGTCATATGATTATATACATGGGGAAAGTAAAGCCCTGTTAGTAAGACTAAAGAATTCTCTATAGCAATACACTTAGATTCTGTGTCTTTACAAGCACATTATAAGCCATGGTTCAGCTTGCACAGCCAGTAACTTGCATGTTCAATAGTGTACGTTTTGTTAATTACCTAAATACAAGCACAGATTGTGCTCATCACTTTTATAAAGCCTTGTACGAGTATGAAGAAACTGAAGCCACTAGCTCTTGTAGCAGGTTTAGTGGTCTGCTGGTGGTCAACACCAAGGTTTTCACAAACAAAAGTTACGATGTTGCTAGCAATGACTTAACTGGAAGCTATTTCAGTGTGAAATATATTGTGTTTTAATGGTGCAATGGTAATAGTATAATTAATGCAATTTACTTGAAACGATTGAGCACAAATCTTAGAATTGCTGACACATGCTGCCAATCCTCCAGCACAGATCAACCAAATGATAAAATAAATAGAAAGCAGTCACACATTTCAAGCTAACTACAATATATTAATATAGATCTTTTGTTGTCATACGCTCATTAAAATAGGGAAAAAACACAAATCTCATTCACGCTGTATAAGTCATGGTTCAGTTCCCAATACCCAAACGTCTTCCCTCCAACAACTTTTCATGCACCCAATATCAGTATGAGAAGTTGATATATCAAAGAGAAAGATTACTGAAAGAGTTCAAGGTGTGGTGACCCAGCCATAAGGTCAGAAGGTGCAAAAGAAACAAATTAAACCACTTGACATCTTCTACCTGGGAGGATATTCCTCAGCCCTTAGGTCACGCCGACAATTCTCCCAGATATTTTAGGTGTATCCGAATAGTTTCCTTTACCCAAACTTGTAAAGATACAACAGGGTGAAATAAAAATACCTTCAAGATTGCCGTGAAGGTAAGAAAAAAAAAAGTCAAATTAAAAGCTGTAGCTTCCTCCTCACAGCAACAGCAAAGTCCACCAAGACCCTACTGATCTCCCCAGTCACACAAGCGAGAAGCGCGCACACACAAATTCATTCACACACACACACACACACACACACACACACACACACACACACACACACACACACACACACACACACAACCTGATTCAGCCACAACCAACCTTTGCAGAAAGGGAGATACCAGTACGGCAGGTGTCCCGCCCAGGCCCTCATACCACCATGAACAAATGAAGCCATGATATCAGGTGTTTTCATCCATGTCGCTATTGTTCAAATTCACAAAGTCAGACCTTCCTCACCACTCGGATCTCATAACTTCTGAATTTTCTCAGCCACCACAATGGGGTTCTCCTTGCGAATGCGTGCGGCGGCTGCGCTCCGGTAATCATAGGGACAGTCATGTTTGTCAGAGTAACGGTGGATGGCACAGAACAGGTTGCCACAGCGACAGTCAAAACCTAAACAATCAAAACACAGTTACGACATATACATGGTTTAACAGGGCGCTTGCTTTCGTGCTCAGAACAAAGAAAAGGAAGCTCGATTTGACAAACCGACCTTTCCCCCGGCATTTCTGGGACAGATTTGAAAACGTTTATTTTTGGCCAAAATGTTCAATACACTGTTTATTGTAGTAACACAGAAGAATGTAAATTAAATAACCAACAATTGGAATAATTGTCCAATAGTTTAGTATTAAGATTCATTTATTTATTTATTGTTAAAGTGACGATTTGGTTGCAATGACTTAACTGGATGTTATTTCAGTGTGAAATATTTTATGTTTTAATGGTGCAATGGTACTAGTAATGTGAATGGTGTGGTCAGATACAACACAATGCACACGCCTAAAGTTGAACAAAAACTACTTCTGAAAGAACAGACATTTGGTTTGTGGATTGTGAATAGACCACTAACTTGTTGCCATCATGTGAGTTTTACTGGAGAATCAATTCTACCACTGCTGCGTGTTTATGGGCCCACAGGCTTAACCCTTTAAGCGCCAGAGGTTTTTTTCCAAAACGCTCAATTTTGACATCTTAATTTCAAAAGGCTATAACTTAAAAGTGATAAGAGATAAAGGCTTTCTGTAAATTAGAAAAATATAAAGGATGGTGCAAAGTTTATGTAGAGAATAAATCCCCCCATTGAATTTGCATATTATGACGTCATTTGGCGTTAGAAATAGTGGATTTTAGATTTTTCATACAATATTTGTATTTTTCTAACTGACAGACATATATTTATCACTAGAACATGAACACACACAGAGCACACACTGTAACATTGTAAATGTTCATGACAATAGTAAAACAATATAAATCATGGTGCTGCTGTGAGCAGTCTGCCCAGACGCGCGCCTCCAGGTGAAGCGCGTCACCGCGACCCTGCTGCTGCAGATGTCTCCCCTGCTCTCTCTCTCATCTCCCCAACTCTCTCTCTCTCATCTCCCCTGCTCTCTCTCTCGTCTAACATACACAAGACAAGGCCTCTCCAACACATTACTGTCCCGGTGATTACGTGAGGCTTGAAAATAAATATGTGGGAAGCACTTTTAGCGGAGACTTTGGCGGAAACTTCAGCGGAGGCTGGAGGTCGCCCCGACCCGAGTTCCAGGCTTGTTTTCCGCAAATCTAACCTGTCTCCGAACCTCCCAATGACTGGCCTTACTCTAAGAAACACTGTTCCCACTGCAGACCCTGTGCAAAGTGTCTAAAGTTAGTGTTTGGTGCGGTACAACACTCGCAGGCTGCCCCGCAGCTGCATTCACTTCGCTATGATTTCCGCACTGGTTCAACGCGGTCTTGCTCGAATATTTTGTATGAGAGCATGACGTTTTTTGGGGCCAGGGAGGTAGTCTGACATGTCTGCCAACTAGTGGCAGGGAGTATGAATGAATTTTGACACTCAGTTGGTCACACTCGGCCGTTTTTAACAGTACCGCAGCTTGTCGACTTAAGTCGACCGTGGCGCCTAGAGGGTTAAGACTTACCAGTGAGGCCAACTTTCTTTCGGCAGGAAAAGCATCTGTTCTTCTTCTTATTTTTATCAGGCGTTTGTTCTCCATCTGATGATGCCTGTGCCGTTTCTCCAACTTGATCTAACAGGGAAACAAGTACTTGACTTTCCATCCACCTGTGGCATTTGCATTGTGTCATTTACAGCCCTAACATGTTCACCTGTGCTGCCCGATGTGCTCTCCTCCTCCCCCTCCTCAGCCTCTGCTCTGTCCGAGTCCACCGGTGCTGGCTCTTGAGAGATACTCATCTCAGTCATCTGTTGAGTCACTGGGCTGGGGGAACTCGGACTATACATGACACAAAGTCAAATGACCATTTTGTTTGTGGATTTAGAATACAAAGTATATAAATAATACATGTGTGTATTTATTGCTTTCAAATATGTGTTGGATTTTACCTGCTGGCCTGTTCCTCAGGGGGCGTTCCTGCGGGGGGCTCCGTCTCTGTGATGGGTTCTGAGGTCGTGCTCTCTACATTCACAGTCACACCAGGCAATCCTGGTGATCCTGTGGGCGATGTTGTAACTATGTGAAAATTAAAAAGTGTAAACTCACCACAAAAGCCAACCTCAGAACTAATGGAGATGCTATTTTTAATTATCTACCTTTTTCACCTGGGGGGCTGGACCGGCCTCCTCCCTGTTGTCTTTGCAGGTGTTCCTTGTAGCAAACTGAGCACATACCATTGGTGCGTGGGTTGCCATAGAAACCACATCCCATAGTGCAAAGCATTGGCACCTGTGTCTGATTGGTCTCCTGAGCCATGCTCCAACAGGGGGGAGGGGGATGGGAGATGATATTCCTGAGAAAAATTAAAAATCAAGTTCATAAAAACAATATCCTCTTGGTTCAGTGGAGGCAGTTTTTTAACACTTGGGTCAAATTGACTCATCACACTGATTACACATACTTGAAATACTTTTCTCTCCAGCTGATTTTTCATAATAATTTCCTAACTTCACCAATCCTGGGTCATTGAGACACTTTTAGACTCTAATTTAGGGTATTTTCCAGCTACTTTTAAATCAGTAAAGCAAGGGTTAAGAACAACATAAGTCCGGTATCCAACGAGCGCTTCAGAATAATTATAAAGAGGGGACGTTGCCGATGCAGGAGTCCGTTGGGCAGTGTCCAACTAGGACTGTGATGATCCAGGACACTTTAACATTCTACAACATGTATGACATTTATCAACATATGTTCTATATTCTTTATGGTGTCTTAACTGTTGATTCTCTGATCTGTGTTGGTGATTTCAATGGTTTTGTTAAGTTCTCTGAGATGACTTCTGTTGTGATTTAGGGCTATACAAGAATAAATTGTATTGTATTGTAATAATAAACAAGAGCAACACATTATTTTGAATAGAAAAAAGTCCAGTATATGTTGCATGAAACAGAAAGCAGAAACCAAATGATATCAGCCAGTCTAAACATTAACTCTAGGGCAACAACACAATATAAACCATTTATTTAAAATAAAACGAAATGACGTGTCCCAATAGATTACGTTAAATACCTCGCTAATTAGAAGTTTCAGAGGCATGTTCCCCATTCCGCTCATAACCCGCAACTCTCACATCTATCCCCACCGCTGTCAGACTGTACAACAAGTCACTTTAAGTCACTGTATTAAGACTGAAAAAACCTGCACTACTATTGACACTTTTTATATTGTACATAATATATCCTGAATTTTACATGTTTGCATATTTCCTCTCTTTTTGCACAATCTTGAGTGTTTCAGTGCGACATGTCAATTTCTCCTTTGTGAGATAAATAAATAATATCTTATCTTAAAATACATTGAAGCGTGTCAGACAGTAAACATACAAAGAACGTTCAGTCCAGAGTAGTAAGTAGTAAGTAATCTTTATTTATATACCGCCTTTTCACTGCACATCGGAGTCTCAAAGCGGTTTACAATTGTTTTTGTTTTTTGTTTTTTGTGATTGGGGGGGCCAGTACAGGAGGCACATGCCAGAACTATTTTACATATTTTTAGTGGTAGGGGAAACCAGAGCACCCGGAGGAAACCTACGCAGACACGGGGAGAACATGCAAACTCCACTCAGAAAGGCCCTGGTCCGACCGGGATTCGAACCCAGGACCTTCTTGCTGAGAGGCGAGAGTGCTATCCACTCAGCCACCGTACCGCACTGTACAACAAGTCACTTTAAGTCACTGTATTAAGACTGAAAAAACCTGCACTACTATTGACACTTTTTATATTGTACATAATATATCCTGAATTTTACATGTTTGCATATTTCCTCTCTTTTTGCACAATCTTGAGTGTTTCAGTGCGACATGTCAATTTCTCCTTTGTGAGATAAATAAATAATATCTTATCTTAAAATACATTGAAGCGTGTCAGACAGTAAACATACAAAGAACGTTCAGTCCAGAGTAGTAAGTAGTAATCTTTATTTATATACCGCCTTTTCACTGCAGAGCTGAGTCTCAAAGCGGTTTACAATTGTTTTTGTTTTTTGTTTTTTGTGATTGGGGGTGCCAGTACAGGAGGCGCATGCCAGAACTATTGTACATATTTTTAGTGGTAGGGGAAACCGGAGCACCCGGAGGAAACCTACGCAGACACGGGGAGAACATGCAAACTCCACTCAGAAAGGCCCTGGTTTTTAATGTCACGTTAGAAAAGTACAATATCCATTTGTTTGGTTTGGGGAGAACACTGCAGCTGGTTTTGTCCAAGTGTCTCTTCTGTCCTCAGCTAACACTCAACATTAGCCAAAGCCTTGTCGGTCGCATTGTCTCACAACCAGATACCAGCGCATAAACACAGTCAACCCCCGCTTAACACGTACAATAACACAACACTTTGTCATAAAAACGATTTAAACACGCATTGAAAGAGCAGCGTAAAGTATTTGCTAAGTTATGAGTGAAAGAGAGCGGCGGCAGTTGGCTATCGTTAGCCTGAGTGTGCTAGCTAGCCGAGCCCAAACAGTGCGCGTGCAGACACTGTGCTAGCTAGCCGAGCCCAAACAGTGCGCGTGCAGACACTGTGCTAGCTAGCCGAGCCCAAACAGTGCGCGTGCAGACACTGTGCTAGCTAGCCGAGCCCAAACAGTGCGCGTGCAGACACTGTGCTAGCTAGCCGAGCCCAAACAGTGCGCGTGCAGACACTGTGCTAGCTAGCCGAGCCCAAACAGTGCGCGTGCAGACACTGTGCTAGCTAGCCGAGCCCAAACAGTGCGCGTGCAGACACTGTGCTAGCTAGCCGAGCCCAAACAGTGCGCGTGCAGACACTGTGCTAGCTAGCCTCGATCCGCGAGCCCAAACAGTGCGCGTGCAGACTCCGCGCTAGCTAGCTTTTAACGGGCGTACACTCAAAAAGTACTTGGTCTAAAACCCCCACGAATGCCACGGTTACCTGTGATCGATGTGCCGAAACCTGTGGCCGAGCTTGGGCTAAGGAAATGTGTACAAGTATTGTGTCTCCCAGCAGAGCGCGCGGCCTCTACCCAGCGCTAGCTCCCGACATTCACACAACGACCATGACGTCACCCTGCTTTGATTCAGACGGGCCACAAACGACATATTTAGGGACTCTTCAAATACACAATACAATTTATTCTTGTATAGCCCTAAATCACAACAGAAGTAATATCAGAGGACTTAACAAAACTATTGAAATCACCAACACAGATCAGAGAATCAACAGTTAAAACACATAAAGATAAGATGTACTTTATTAATCTCACGAGAAATGTACATGACACATTGGCAAGGATAGGAACACTCAAGAATTGTGCAAAAAGTAACACATTTGCAGCATCTTAATGCAGGATAAATTATGTACAAAAAAGTGTCAACCAAGAAAGAAGTGTCAATAGTTTCTATTCAGTCAGGTTTCTTTTCAGTCATAGTGCAGTGACTTAGAGTGACTTGTTGTACAGTCTGACAGCGGTGGTGATAAAGGATATAGAACACATGTTGATAAATGTTCATACATGTTGTAGAATGTTAAAGTGTCCTGGATCATCACCACAGTCCTTCTAGTTGGACACTACCTCCCCAAAAGACCCTCCTGCATCAGCAAGGAAAAACTCATAAGAAAAACCCAGTGGGAAAAAAGTGAGAAACCTTGGGGAGACCCATGGTTTGAGAAAGGAATCAAACAACACACAGACTGCTCAAGGATTATATCACATTTATTTGCATTTCATAAATCTCATCTTTGATAGTATGTACGATACGTTTCACCGAACCACTATAATGGGTTACTTTATTACTATGCCAAATGGAAGGCATCATGCTCGAGTACATTTTGTGCGCTCAATGAAAACTATTAGATACATTTTGGTATTTTAAACATTTACGATGAAAAGTTATCTGAATACAACATTTATTGTTTTGGTCCAATCTGCTCCATTGGCACATCTTTATCTTCTTTCTCAGTCAACTGAGGGGCAAAGGGTCCAACGAGCCAGTTCAGAGGGGTGTTGTGTGTGAGATACTCCATCACTCCATCCAAAGACTTCTGAACCTATAGTAAAATAAACACTGATAATGATTCACAAGTAACAGCATTTTTTTAAACAAATTAGTAACTTGAAAGCAAAGAAACCCTATAGAGACCTGGGTTAGATGCTGGCGGCTGCGCTCCAAAAGCACTGGTGTAAGAGAGCTGGTGTTTCCTAGAGACGTGCGGAGCTCTTCAGCGGACTGTATGGCACTGCTGAGCTGCTCTTGTACTGCTCCAGGGAGGCCTTGAGCACTGGACACCACACTGGAGCAGGCGGACTTCAGCTGGTTACTCAATCCACGCACCATGGACAGGGCCTGCCACTCAAGCTTCTGTGGACAATCACAAATCACATTCACGAATGAACCTGAATAATATACAAGTCTTTCATTTATCATAGATGGTGAAGGAAAACAATCTAAAAGCATTATAATGGCACCTCTTTCTCATCTTTGCCCTGCTGCTGTTCTGGTTCTGGCTCGGTGTGCTCAGCATCAGCCTGAACCTGTTGCCACTCTGTCCAGCGTTGCGTCAGTTGCTCAGATGCTCCATCAGCCTGGTCTGGGGTAGAACCAGGACCCTTCCGAGCTTTCTCCAGCAAGTCCAGAGTGCTGCTGATCTGGGTCATGGCTGTGTAGGTGGCTTCCTTTGCCTGTTGCGCTCGGATCATTGATTGCTCCCGGGCACGCTCTTGGACCTTGGCAGAAAGCTTCCCCAGACGAACAAAGTAGCTGGGGCTCCCAGGCGGACTGGCTGTTGTCGTCGAAACCTCACCATTGGCAGGTTCTGCCAGAGCAGCTGCATATACAGACACAAATGGAATTTTACAATGAGATAGTTTCATTCAGTTTTTCTTTTTTTGCTAAACTGACAATGTAATTTATAATTCAATTTATTTTCTTTGTTAAATCAAAAATGGGACGTCTTGGCCTTAAGAATACAGATGGGGGAGCCCTCAGGTGCTAGTTCTGTGGAAAATGTAAATAGTCTGTGGATGTACTGTGTGCTAAACTGGAACCCGTGGAACATACTGTACGTAACCTAACCCTAACCCTAACCCTAAACTATAGCTGAAGTTTCATAAACACACCTAAATGTCAATCACAAGCTAATGTCTAAGAAACTCCAATTAATTGTTGTCACTACAAGGGTTCTATGCAATGTGGGTAAAAAAAATCCCCATTGATACATTTTTGTGTCGTAGTAGCATGACGTAATGGCAGCAGGTGTCAGAGCTCCGAGTGTTGGAACATGAAGGCCCATTTGTAAGCCAAGCAAACAGAAGGAGGTTATTGTAATGTCCAGCTCTCTTCACTATATATAGCATCAACCCTCTGTGGTTCATCTGCAATGACCTCAACCCCAGATAAAGAAACATAAATCGTCTGTGTAGTCTCCTAGCACAGAAATGCATACTCTTTAAACAACAAAATAAACATTGTAATCAAAAATCCATTATTTCAAAACAGAAATGCCAAGCTCATTTTAGGTCTGGGGCCGTATCTGACAAATGAGAGCTGGTCAGGGGCTCAATGTTTATTTTTATTTTTATAGATCCATAATTTTCTTAGTGCAAAGTCTGTTTAAAACTCAGCATCTGTAGGTATATTTTAGGTTTTTTTACATTATGGAGATAATTTGACCAAAGGTTAACTCAACAATTTTGTTATATTATTTTCAGGTAGATATCTCAGAATAAATAAAGTTTAGAAAATCAGCTTGAAAATTCTGCTCGTCCTCCCACAGGCCACATAACGGACATGTTTTAAACCCTACACATGCTTATTATAAAATTACATTCTAGTAGTTTTCTCACAAACATCGGAGCATCATTATCAAAGCACTGACCTAATTCCCTCTCTGAAAGTGGCAGGTTCTGGTCAACCCAGTCTTCTGATCTTCTGAGTGCCATGCCCATCCCACTGCTGACCATCTGTCCCAGACTGGTGCCCATGACGGTGCTGAAGCCGCCGCTGACTGCACTGACCATGCCCCCCCACAACGTCCCCACCACAGCATCTTTGGCCCCTGCAACAGACTGGTACACCATGCCCATCGTGTCCGACACCACCTGAGGACAGAACATGTGTGCAACTCAGAAAAAGTGTAATAACCAAACACACATCCTAATTACATCCAAAAGGAGACTAAACAGGGGCCAAACCTGGAACCAGGACAAGACCAATTAAACACACATTCTATCTAGTAAACCGAAGACATTTATGTAGATTTTTTTATTTATGCATGCCTTTGATTTTATCCTGATTTAACTTGTTTGCACCGAGAGCCAAAGCAATTTCCCAGTTTGTGACTTCCTGTTACTCACACGGCAATAAAAGGATTCTGATTCTGATCTATGATGCCGGCTGCTAACCTTAAGCATGAGATAACACACAACAGCCTTGACCAAGAGGATCAGCCATTTTGCTCTGGCAGCCACGGCACATCGCCACATTGATACATCAGCAATAAATGGTATTGTAAAAACGATAAAACTGCCAGTGGGTCATTATTAATTACTAAACATCTTTAGAACTTCATTACTAAAAACTATATTAGATGAAAATGATGCCAACCATAGAGTGTGTGACTCCGCAGGCTTGAGCTACAGCTACTGCCTGAAATCTATAATGTGTTTGGCCATTTTACAATTTATTCAAAATAAACAATGTTATTGGGATGAAGAGCAAAGAGTAATTGTATCCTGAAGGGTTCAAAAACATGAAAAACAGGAACATTTATGAACACAAAGTAAACCTTATCTGCTGGCTTGTGAAGAATAGGTAGATTCTCTTCCACTTTATCCAGTCCTTTCATGGCATACTCATTCACTGTAGCAACTAAATCAAGAAAGCAAAACCAGGATACACGAGGCAGTAGAATTTTATATTTGCATATTGTGTTAACTATTTAGGTTTAGATTTACGCTGTGGTTCAATGTAGTCCAGCAGAGGCTTGGAGCCCGTCGTGGCTGCTGCTCCGAGTGTTCGAACTCCGCTCTCCGCCACATCCATCACTCCTTTGAGCAAAGGCACGTTGTCTTTGGTGCTGGTATAAGCACTGGACACAGCCCCACAGGCAGAGCTCACCAGAGGCAGGTTCCCCACTCGTGCAACTACAGTCTGCATACAAATCAAATACAATAAGAGCAATAAGAGACATGTCTTAGTTGGGGATACTAAACAATGAAAGTATTACAGCTGAAACTGAGGTAATTAGAGTATTGGTCAAAAGTACATTTACTTCAGTTTAAACGTACAATGTTGATAATTGGCTCACAGCTTGTAAAAACATCAAGTAATTATCTTTTGAAAATTGTCTGTAAGCCATAATCATCAACATGATTGGCTTATTGGGGTCAATTCTACTTTCACCTGTTTATACACATATTTTCAGTGAGAATAATCTTAGTAAATCAAAATATGTACATTTTTTAAAACAATAGTAGTTCCTCATCATAGATTACAAGCAACATGTCTCTGTTTTCAGCACCAAAGCAAACGAAAAATAACAAAGAACACGCTTTGGATGTACACTGGGAAGCGAAAGTGCTAGCCTGGTCGTACCACACCATAGTACAAATTACATTTCGTACTAAGGTCTGGATTTGCTTCATTGACTCCGTGAACAGGTGGGAGGGGTTAACTCCTTTTGCAGATTGAAACCATTGGATCAGAGTTTACCGTGACATATGTTATGCGCCCGAGTGAGTTGTTAGCATTTAGCATTTAGCCTAGCTTTAGCCATCTCCTTTGTCGCTAACGGAGCCCGTGGGGAGTAGCGCCACAATTTTTCGAGCGATTACATTTGATAGACATTCCTTTTGCTCCGGCTTCAGTTTCTTGATAGAACCAGACCAGATTACTTTACTATCACATTTTTCCCCATTACCAAACTACAACCTTCCCGTTCGACGCAAACTCTTGACGTCATTCACATCTAACTACAACACCCGCCTCCCGCGCTCTCTGATTGGTCGGTCGAAATTCAACCGATTGTATTCGCTAACACAGGGACCAGACCCAGACGTTACATGCAGTGAAATGATGACTGAGCGGAGAGTACAGATGGATAAGACCAGGCTACGAAATTGCTCTATTTTAACTTTTACAGCACAATGAGGGCCTTGCTTTACTTTCAAGTCTTTTAGGCTATAACTACAAGCTGTTCACATCTAGAGACTGACAGTTTTGCCCATTCATCTTTAGAAAACAACCCAAGCTCAGTCTTTATGTTTATGGTTTGCTCACAAGTTCAAGTTGAATTGACCCTTTAGCAACAGGCTGTAGATGTGATGAAATGGGTTTCAGAGGTGCCTGTAAAGCTCAACGTTAACCATTCAGTTTGTAAGTAGGATTAGGTGGGGTCTTGGCATCTTCCTCACCTGCTGGTCTCCGTTAGCGTGCACTGCCTCAGTAGCTCCACTCTCAGTCGGTTTCCCACTCTGGTCTGCCATTGTGAGCGCTCGAGTCAGTCTCTAACAACCAATGCAGAAAAACAGGCCTTCAGCTCACACCGTTTGGTAACCTTATGCATTTTAAATCTCAAGTCCTGCCAGTCAGTGGGAGAAAGACATTATTGTGGAGAGTGTAATTAAATGCAACCGGACCATGTTCAATTCATTTGTCAACACCATGATGTAACAAGACTGAAACCACTCAGTACAAGACAGAAAGCGGAGACGAAGCAAACATGTTTTGCATCCGTAATGTGTCAAACTGTTTACATGAGGCTTACAATCTGGGAAACTTTCATATCACTATCACACAATGACCTCTTGTAGTGGCTGGTTTAGGGCTGGTTCGCAAACAATCAATGATGTAGTATCCATCCATTTTCTTCCCCTTAAAGAAGCTATACCCGATTTTTTTTCTAAGTAGTTCATAAAAATGCTTTTTACTACATACAAGTTGTATCATAATACATCATTTAATTGAAAACTTGAGGTAATTGATTCAGCTGTGTAAGAATTACAAGCAGTGAAAAGTGCTGAGTAGAGTCTGAGCGGGACGTTCTCCTCCAATCACAGAACGAGCAGAGAACAGCCTGCGTCCTCTAGTCTCTACAGCCTGTGTCCTCTAGTCTCTACAGCCTGTGTCCTCTAGTCTCTACAGCCTGTGTCCTCTAGCCTCTACAGCCTGCGTCCTCTAGTCTCTACAGCCTGTGTCCTCTAGTCTCTACAGCCTGCGTCCTCTAGTCTCTACAGCCTGTGTCCTCTAGTCTCTACAGCCTGTGTCCTCTAGTCTCTACAGCCTGTGTCCTCTAGTCTCTACAGCCTGTGTCCTCTAGCCTCTACAGCCTGTGTCCTCTAGTCTCTACAGCCTGTGTCCTCTAGCCTCTACAGCGCTGCTCAACACCAGGGCTTCGACTTCAAAATTCGAATATAATTCTAAAATAAAAAATGAACAAAATAATTGAATAAAAAATGTGAACAAATCTTAGACAACCCTTATAATTAGAAATGTATTTAATGACTGCAAATAAAATAGTTAGCTCCCAAAGGTTTCACCGGGACGTGCTAGGCAGGTAACAGCTAAGCTAGCTAGCTGTTTCATGGTAACTTCCGGGTTTTTCGCAATCGCTTTTTGTCACATTGAAACAGTATTTTTGTCATGAAAACGTTAACAGCAAATTCTGAAATCGTCCGTGCATGTGTGTTAAGGATGTATATGTGTACTGTATTGTCCGATTGACGTTTAATGGTGTTGATTGATAGATATGTATTTGTTTATTGAGCGTGGCTAGCTCCGCTAGCTCCGCTAGCTTCTCTACACAGAAGAGTGTGTAGTGACAGGTGCTGATAGCGTTTTGTACTTGCAGAGTAATGGCAGTATTTTACACACCTGAATTACAAACAGAGGTTGCATTGGGGCTTCGGTCATTATTGGTTTGAGAGTTCTGTTTTCAAGAAAAAATGATCGGAAGAATTGCTGCTGCTGCTTTGAGGAGCTCTATAACACATTATAATTAAATATTAGAATATATTCTAAGGTTTTAAATTAATACATTCGGACGCGAAACTAGCGGTATTCTTTTACTTATATTGTGTTAGCAGTGCGTTGCTTTAGTGCCATTTCATCAGTGATTGTTGTTGAGCTTACAAGAAGTTGCGCTAATGCTAATGTTAGCATATGTATCAGATCGCAAATAAAACTAGGTGGCTCTGTGTTATGAGAGCGTAGGGGAAATGAGAAGCCATTGAGCGAGTTGGGGGGCGGTGCTAAACATTCAAACATTGCAGCAACGGGTATAGCGCCTTTAATCCATTTCTGGGTTGGGGGGGTGGCAGTCAGAGCTGCACCCAGTACACTCAGCACCTGCCCCTCACTGATCCTCCTGCAGGTGGTGAGTCCACAGGAGCTGAGATCTTTCAGCGGGGGCTTCAGGCAAAGTGGGGTTAAGTGTCTTGCCCAAGGACACAATGACAGCAGTCATCATCAGTGGGAGTCGTGAAGTAGGTCTTACGGTGGACTCGAACCCACGACCTTCAGGCCCAAAGGCCAATGCTCTACCAACTGAGCTACTCTCGCCCCCGATGTAGTAAAAAAGTATAAATCGTAGTCAACTAATTTAGTTATCAATTAACCTTCCATAGACTTCAAACGATTCAATGTGTCACCAGTCATCTCCATGAAGACGTTCTCCCATATTCACTGAGCTTTTGACATCGAAACTAAAAAGAATAATTGGCCAACTAATCAGTCAAAATAATCACTATAAAACAGCCCAAATACTGTAATGTATATTTTCTGGTAGAGCCTGCCACCTCCATGCATCTTTCAGTGGAACTTATAGTATTTTTTTAAACATCCACGCAAAAATCACTAACTTCTGGCACAAATATGTAACTCCGCCTCTTCTCTTAAAAAGCTCCTGTCCCAGCCCTATAATAATGTGATGCCATTGGACCACTATCCCATCATGCTCAGAGCAGGTTTCTACATTTTAAATCAAAATAATTGCCCATAATTCATTATGGCAATTTAAAAAGGGGAGCTTGAAGCAGGTTGTCCTGAGTCTCACAGCACTAAAGCCTATTCCACATGCAGGACATGACGGGGGTCACTGACCATTATTTGAGCCAGTGAGAGTGTGGTCTGCTCGTAGGTCAGCTGGAGGGAGGGAACTTCAATTCTAATGATCTTTGTTGCAGTTTAAACAAGCCTCTGGATCTTGGATTGATCCTTCACAAGCGCACCGAACTAGACTGCCAGGCAGTATCTGAGACAGCTTTCAAATATAGAGCTGTAGTAAATAGTCATAATTTTTGTGCGCATTCCGAACAGCTGCAAGCGTCTCAGAAAGTGTAGTCTCTGGGCCAGTTTAGCGCACAGGGCGTCGACCTCATCAGTCCATTTAAAATATTTGTCGGCGGAGATGCTTAATTGAGTCCACTCGCTCACTTTGCACCCCATCTATGCGGAGAGTCTTCGACTCAAAGATCATTTCTTTGGTTTTCACAGTGTTCAGGTTCAGCTCGTCACACCAGTCTTTGAAGGAGTCTACCTCACTGCGGTTAGCAGACTCACAATGGCAGTAACATCTGAGACTGTGAAATGACACAAATCACATGTATCCACCTTTGAAGATAAAAGAAAATCTATTTGACTACATGATACTATAAAGCTGCAAAAACACCTTGAGCAGGTTTTGTGAAATCTGCCAATATCGACTGTGTTGTCCTGGTGAGTCCAGCTGTTGGAGAGTAAACAGATGAGAGCTGTAAGAATGTTCAGGGGCCACATCTCTAACATGTGAAGAGCATCTGTTCTCTCAGTGAATATACAGCCTTTGGTTCTCTCCCTTTTACCTGCTGCACAAGTCAAAGGGAGCTCCCACTGCACCAGCCCCTCTCCTGAACACAGAGCTACACATCAGGTGGTGCCATCCAACAGGACTGAATGACTTATTGTAATGGAGGTTTCCATTATGCAGAAGTCATTTGGAGCACATGTTTATGTTTATAGTGGAAAGTAATCTTAAATAAAACACAATTTCTAAGTTTAACAAACGTGGGAGCTTTGCAATGATACAAAAACCATTGCAACAGTTTTCCTTGAATCATTTTTGTTTTCTTTCTGATAGAAAGTCAGTTCGAGTCATTTTATATAACAAAGCAAAGTCTAACAGTGAGATGAACCCAAGATAACCGTCATAGACAGAGATAATTTGACGAACTGATTATGCAACACCAAATCAATTATTATTTTACAGGCTACAGAAACAGAACATTATTATCAGAGCCAATGTGAAGTTACTCTGAATCTTCTTTTTCTCTGAACGCATTAAAACTGGCCAAACCCCCAACTATTGTAGTGTTGTATTCCCTAACAAAATAAAAAATACATAATAACAATTTTACTGATAAACATATCAATTATTAATTAAGTATCTTGTGTCAAATGATAAGAGTTATTATATGCGTCATACTGTATTGCCACAGACATGAATAGAGCAGAATACATAGTTTCATTTTCATTTTCTTTCCATTTATTTATTTCTTAAAGACGAATAATACATCTTTGCCTAAATTCACACAAAATATAACTATGCAAAAATAACTGCCAATCAGTTCTCAGCCCAATGCGTCAAACAGTCACGGTATTTTTTTTTTTTTAAAGGATAAATCCAGCATGGTGTGGTCTAATTATTCACGACATGTAACTCTTTCTACTGAGACAAACTCACAAACATGCATTATTGATGACACAAAATGTTATATATCCCAGCTTGACACAACCATGGATCTATAAAGCTAAAGTTGATAGTTTGACAGCTTGGTGAACGCCCAGTCATGTAGCAACAGTAGCAAAGTGAAGCTAACACTGGTTACTTTGTATCATTGCTGCTAGCTCAGAAACTTTAGACTAATGCACTGACCTGAGATGACCGCGGCCCCTGCTGTTGTGTGTGTGTGTGTGTGTGTGTGTGGAGGGTGTGGAGTAGATTGAGGAGACCCAGACAAAAAGCCACCCTTATTTCACAATAATTTCATGTGTGTGAACTTCAGCAACAAAAAGGCGGAGAAAGGGCTCGTCCTGGAAACTTTGAACCAATGAAATCCCATCTACGCAGTAACGCAGCAGCGGGATTACTCATGGGCTGCATCCAAATTCACCACAAAACTTCTTCTTAATCCTCGTCTACTTCTTCTCCTTTTCAATGACCTCGATGAGAATACATTTATCCTAAGCGGTGTTGAAAAGTCTTTCCTACCGGTTTCACTTGACCGAACTCTCTCGCTCTATAAAGTGTAGAAAAATCAAGGGCAGGGAAGGTGGTATTGTGTATGGTTTCAAAAATAAACTAGTATTTTAGAAGAAGAAAAAACAATTTGGTTATTTTAGACCCGGATTGTGAAATGTGCATTAATAAATCACTTTTTCTCACCATTGTGATGTTAACACCTTTCTCATGGATCTTTTATAAAACCTGTTTATTTATCTTGCTCTGTTTCTGTACTGATATATTTACACATATACACAGTTGTTATTTATCACTGTCAACTATATGTGCAAGTATTATGATATGTGAAGCGTCTGTGTCCAAAAAAGCGCTATACAAAACCCATGCATTATTATTATTATTTTTTTTTTATGATTATGATTATGATAATGATTGTTATCATTATTATTATTGTTATTATTATTGTTATTATTATTATTATTATTATCATTATCATTATCATTATTATTATTATTGTTATTGTTATCATTATCATTATCATTATCATTATTATTATTATTATTGTTATTGTTATTGTTATTGTTATTATTATTATTATTATTATTATTATCATTATCAATCAATCAATCAATCAACGTTTATTTGTAGAGCGCCTTTCCTACACAAGGCAACGCAAAGCGCTTCACATCCCCTATCACATCATGCATAAATCAAACACATTAAGAGCACAAGATATATTAAAAACATTAAAAATAAAATCACAAAAATTAAAAACCTTTAAACATTAAAATCACAGATGGGACTAAAATCATAAATAGTCACAGTGCATTAAAAAGATTAAAGATAAAAACAAAGATGAAAAGATAAAATCATTCAGTTGTATATGCGCAGCTAAACAGAATTGTTTTGAGCCTAGATTTAAAAGATGCCAGAGTAGACGCCTGTCTCACATTCTCAGGAAGACGGTTCCAGACTCTAGCCGCATGAATCTGAAATGCAGTTTGCCCATGTCTAGTACCGACTCTGGGCACTAACAGGAGTCCAGTCCCTGTGCTCCTCAGAGTCCGGGTCGGTTCATATGGCACAAACATGTCATGGATGTACCTTGGCGCGAGACCATGGAGAGACTTGTACACAAGTAAAGCTGCTTTGAAGTCTATTCTCTGAGGAACAGGAAGCCAGTGCAGAGACCTGAGAACTGGACTAATGTGGTCGTACTTCCTAGTTCTGGTCAGGACTCGAGCTGCTGCATGTTGAATGTACTGCAGCTGCTTTACAGCCTGTTTGGACAGACCTGTGAGCAGGCCATTGCAATAGTCTAACCGACTGGAGACAAAAGCGTGTATAAGAGTCTCCATGTCTGCCTTAGACACTATGTTTTTAATTTTAGCAATGTTTTTTAGGTGGTAATAAGCTGCTGATGTTACAGATTTTATGTGGCTTTTGAAATTTAAGTCTGAGTCCATTATCACTCCTAGATTTCTGACCTGATTTGAGGGTTGTAGAGAGAGAGCCTGGAGGTGACAAATAACGCTCTCTCTTTGTTTCTGGGGTCCGAAAACAATTATTTCAGTTTTGTCGGTGTTTAGTTGGAGAAAGTTATTTTGCATCCAATCACCGATTTGCTGGACACAGTGAAGGAGCGAGTCCACTGGTTCATGCTCTCCTGCTGTCAGGGACACATAGACCTGAGTATCGTCAGCGTAATTGTGATAAGAGACATTATTACTGTGAATCAACTGACCTAGAGGCAACATGTAAATATTAAACAGAAGAGGACCCAGGATTGACCCCTGTGGCACTCCGCAGGTCAGGGCCAAGTGGTCTGAGGTACAGTTTTCGATCTCCACAAAAAACTTTCTGTCTTGTAAATAGGACCTAAACCAGCTTAGGGCGGTGCCAGCAACACCAACCCAGTCCTCAAGTCTCTGAATGAGGATGCCATGATCAATAGTGTCAAAAGCAGCACTTAAATCTAACAGAAAAAGGACTGAGACTTTTCCTGCGTCAGTGTTTAGTTTGATGTCATTTGTTACCTTTATTAGCGCGGTCTCAGTGCTGTGGTGGGGTCTAAACCCTGACTGGAACATATCATAAGCGTTATTGATTATTAAAAATTCTGTAAGTTGTTTATAGGCAACTTTTTCTAGAATTTTTCCCATGAAAGGCAGATTTGAAATGGGCCGATAATTTTTGAGTGCCAGGGCTTCCAGACTCCTCTTTTTTAGGAGGGGCCTGATGACCGCCGTTTTCAAGGCCATTGGGAATGTTCCAGATTCAAGAGACATATTAACTATTTGTGTAAGTGAAGGTAAAAGACTGCTCAGAACTGACTTGAGAAATCTAGGAGGTAATACATCCAGGCTGCATGTGGAGGAACTCAGACTAGTGATTATCTCCTGGACAGTTTCAATTTGTACTGGTGTAAAGTGCGTCAGCCCAAAAAGCCTCACTGGCGGTTGGATTATTATTTCTATCGTGGAGGTGATGGCGTTTTTGATACCTTGGACTTTGTCATTAAAGAACTGAGCAAACTCATTACATTTAGATTTGGAAGTAAGTTCTGATGGCATCTTAACAGGGGGATTCGTCAATCTATTTACTGTTGAAAACAGAACACGTAGATTGTTGCTACAGCCTTCAATAGTTTCAGAAAAGTACATTTCCCTCGTTCTACGTAGTTCCCTGTTAAAATTGCACAACGCATCTTTGAAGATCTCATGGTCAACTTTGAGATTTGACTTTCGCCACTTCCGCTCGGCCTTCCGGCACTCTCTCTTCTGTGCCCTGACCGAGTCTGCTTTAGTCCATGGCGCTTTTTGCTTGTTTGTAACTATTTTAACCTTTACAGGAGCAATTGTATCCAGAACATTCAAAACAGTGGTGGTGACAGAATCAAGTAATTCATCTACAGTAACACACAACGTGTTCTCAAAGTTTACCCTCCCCATGAACAGTTCGCCTGTATTATCATTTATGTGTCTTCTTCTAACAACCGAAGATTCAGCTGGTGGTTTACAATCAAGACACATGTCAAAAAATACACAGAAATGATCAGACAGAGCAACATTGACCACATTTACATTTGAAATATTAACCCCCTTGGTAATTAACAGATCGAGAGTGTGTCCTCTGCTGTGGGTGGGGCCACTCACATGCTGAGTGAGACCAAAGGTTTCCAGCACAGAGCTCAGCTCTATTGCATATCTATCATTAGCATTATCTACATGTATATTGAAATCACCTACAATGACCAAACCATCAAAATCTGTGCACACAACTGAAAGCAACTCAGTGAAATGATCAGTGAAACTATGGCATGACTGTGGCGGCTTGTACACAACAATAATAAGAATGGAAGAAGATTTCTTTTGTTCTATTTTAAAAGAAACATACTCAAATTATGAAAATTTCCCAAGAGACACTCTATGGGAGACAATACGATCTTTAAAAACTGCTGCTATGCCCCCCCCCCTTTTATTTTCTCGTGTTTCATATTCAAATTTGAAATTTGGTGGTGAGGCTTCTATTAAAACTGCATCTCCTGTATTATGGTCAAGCCATGTTTCAGTCATAAACATAAAATCAAGATCATACGAACAGATAAAATTATTAATTAAAAATGATTTGTTGCATAGTGATCTGACATTAAGTAGAGCAAGGTTAAAATTAATATCAGTGTCAATGGGTTTAGTTGATTGATTACAAAGAACTGGAATTAGATTTCCAGAGTTGGACCGTCTAACTGCTGTCCTTTTAAATTTGTGTTTATTCAAGTTAAAACACATTTCTGAGCTGGTGCTCAGAAATGTTATCATTATTATTATCATTATCATTATTATTATTATTGTTATTATTATTATTATTATTGTTATTATTGTTATTGTTATTATTATTATTATTATTATTATTATTATCACTATCATTATCATTATTATTATCATTATTATTATTATTATTATTGTTATTATTGTTATTATTATTATTATTATTATTATCATTATCATTATTATTATCATTATCATTATTATTATCATTATCATTATCATTATTATTGTTATTGTTATTATTATTATTATTATTATTATCACTATCATTATCATTATTATTATCATTATTATTATTATTATTATTATTATTATTATTATTATTATTATTATATGCAGGAGGGATTTCAAATAGAGATTGGGAACATGGTTTATAGCAACAATGAAATCCCTCATGGGTCTAGACTGAATGTGAAAGCTGTGAGGTGCTGTAGCTGCACAGCCCTCAGGTTGGGCGTGTGACTGTGGGAAAATATTCAAATACTGTAGTCTCAACCTTCACTTTGTAAAAAAAAATCAGAAAATACTAATGGAATACATTACAAAACACATTTTACTGCAGGTATTAGTATTCTGTAACTGAATAATGTCAACAAATGAAACGCAAATGGCTTCAATGTTTTCAAAGCAGCACAGACGCTTTAGGCGAAACATTGCATAGGAGAAAAGTTTGTATTGTGGCCATGAAAGCAGTCTTATTCTCCATTTGCATAATAGATCTAGCTATAAAATCCTTAAAAAATATAATGAGACGAATAACAAGATTATCTTATGATCCTGTCAGAGGTAGATTGATAGATTTAAATAGTCTGAATACATGTTTCTGACACGTTTTATCACATATGTAGTTCCTTTTGTCAACCCTAGGGGGCAGTGCTTATCCATTAGCTTGTTTACTGGAGCCCCATATTACATTCTGCAAGATCTGTACACAGCTGCAGCTCTCTAACATCACAGCAAAACTCTATATTTAATGCAGCCTCAAACCATCAATAATCAAACACCTAGAAACAGGTCATGAGTTGTATGGAAGAAGAGACTGTAAGGATTCACTCTGCAGTTCTACGATTAAAACACATTTCACTTTTACAGACTCATTTTGTGATGGCCACGCTCACTCAAAGCCCCTCCTTTCATTTAGAATAATTTATTAATCGTTTTACTGTTTCATTGTGCCTTCTGTTCCTTTCTAGTATTTGGCTTTCAAATAGAAGCAGATTTTCACAAATTGGTTTTAAGCTTTGTTTTTTTCCCCACAATTTTTCCTCCTCATGGTGAAGAAAAAGTGAATAATATCAGAGTTATTTATTTTCAGCTTGGATAATATGTTTTCGGACACACATTGTCTTTACTTTGAAAAATGCTCTGCTGTAATCAGTCCCTGTGAATGTTTTAGGGTGATT